AGACCTAGTGGACTGCTGGAAGCAAGCAAAGGCCACAGAAAAGGACAGGGTGTCGTGCTTCCTCGAGTACCTCGGTACTCTTATGAGAAATGTGGCACCTGATGACCTCGACGACGTAGAGGACAAATTACTGCGTGTTGTGCGCAGCTGCTGGAAGCCTGTGCGCGGAAGACGTGAAGTGCGCGGTGCACTATCTGCGTAAGCGGGCTGAAATCTGTATCCGGAGACGAGGCGACACAGTAGAAAGCCCTTGAGGGGTGCCGAAGTGCAAATCATGAATACATAACTTCCAGAGTTTTGCTGTTTAAATGGAGTATTGACGATTGACGTGTCATGCGTATCACCTGAGATAGTACTGTTGTAAAGCTAACATTCATTGTGAAGGCCCTGTGGCTGTTCACAGACTAGTACAAAAATACCATGAAGCACCTGCATAGTGGAAATGGCATTTCTTAATTTCATAAAATTGGGTGAAGAATTTTAAGAGCAGCGAGGATAGATGACAAGTCACGAGTTCGCCGCCAGAGGCTCCGTATACAGCAGCTTGAGGCAAAGTTGGAGGACCAGAAAGAGAAAGCGTCACGTGACTGTAAGGCTGGACTGTCGAAGGCGGCAGAGACAATCTTCAGTCTGCAAAAGAGGACAGCTGGCACGGCTCCAAAGGTTCGGCGCTACACCAAGGAGATGGCACACGCGTTGACACTGTACTTCCAAGGTGCTCGGGCGTCCATCCCCGCATGCCCAATCTACAACATGCGGCAAAGAGTGGGGACGGTTTCAAAAGCGTGCGGGGCAAGGGCGAGATTCGAGGAAGCTGGGAAGACGCTCCGTGCTAACCCGCACTATTTTTTACGAGATGGGGTTCATCTCACTTCACAGGGTACCCGGGCGGTCCTCACTGTCATGGTCCAGTACCTGCAGACTAACGCGCCCCTTAAGTTCGCCCGGAAGTAGTGCGTGACAGTGCGAGAAAAGGGGGACGAGAATGATAGTCGTTGAGTAAGTAAAAAGTAAAAAAAGTATAAAAACAGAAATAGTGTGCGTGACAGAATAAAACCAGTGTGCGTGACAGATGGTGTGAGAAAGAGATGACGTCAATGGTGTGACAGGGATGACGTAAGCTGACCCGTGTGATCGATGTTTTGGTAAAATTATGGACAGTTAAAGAAGCTTTCATCGCCAAATCCTCTACAGAAATATCTCATAACTAACTGTCCGTCCTTCCCAGATCAAGACCAAACGTCTTTCCCAGATCACGTCTGTCCCTCCCGTTCATATACAGCGCTGGGAGTTCTCCTATTTAATCACGTACGCGGCTTCCGACGAAAGAGCCCCTCGCCTAGGAAATGTGCACAATGCCCTGCAGTACAGCAGCAAAGTGAGGGTAATAGCAAAGGCGAGTTCAATGCCAGCAGCCCAGTTGCTGTGGGTTGAGAACTGATTGGCAACAGAAGTAAGTTCAAAGGAACTTCTGGTCCCAGTTGCTATGGGTAAAGAACTGATGTCAACGTGAAGCAGTCTCATCCAGCCTTCTGTGGTGGGTTCGCCGGTTGTGCAGAAGCACGATGGTGATGGACTGGCGGAAGAGTGGCTAAAAACGGTGGCTTCAGTTGGAGTGAAAGCAACGAGAAAGCTCTCCGCCATATGTACTGACGGCCAGTATCACGGGGCCGACGTTCCGGCCAAATTCCTGACCAACCTCCGATCCTCACAGCCAGACCTCGCGGCGCGATCAGAGGAGGCATGTGTCCCCTGCCTGTGGGATGGTGCACACCCACTGGACCTGGCGGAGTCCAGTGTCAAGGAGTGTGGCTGGGCGCAGGTCGCCATAGATGCCATCATCCGCACGCAAAGCGGTTCTCCTACGGGAAATTACATACAAAGTTTAAATAGGGTATAAGCACCTCTCCCGGTGCAGGTCTATCTCACGGCCTGTCACGGAACCTCCGAGCAGCGACGGAGCGTGAGAAAGGAGGCAGCTGGCGGCTACATGGGGCTCTTCGACAGAATGCAGAAGGTTACCAGTCTCGCAGCTAGACCACGACTTCGAAAATTTCTGTCTGCTGGCGCTGTCGAAGGAACGGCAGTGGATGCATCTGCACTCGGTGGCATCAGAGTCATCATGTCACGAGTTCCATATGACAGCAGACGATAACCTCCCCGCAGCCGGTACGCAAACGCCGTTCGGTCGTCAAATCGAGGAGGCGGCAAAAGACGCCCAAGTGAAAGTGGCAGATACTCCAGCGGTTACTAGCGCCTTCTACGGCCCAAGTCTGGTGCAGCACATGCTGACCAGCGTCATGCGGCTGATCCCTCTCCGGCTGATCCGGAAGCCTATATCAACAGAAAGGGGCTCTACTCTATCAACTTGCTTGCGGTGTGTGATGCAGATGCCAGGTTCTTGGATGTATGTGTGGGGTGGCCTGGCTCTGTGCATGACTCTAGGGTGTTCAGGAACAGTAGTTTGGGTAGGAAACTTGCGGATGAAAACTTTATTCAGCCAGGAAAGTACATTATTGGCGATGCTGCCTTCCAGCTGCAGCCATGGCTGATGACCCCCTTTCGCGAAAACCAACACTATCAAGGGCCCAACCCAGCGGACAATGAAAGGAAGAAAAGGCTTTTCAACAGAGTGCTGTCAGGCACCAGGGTGAAGGTCGAGCACACCTTTGGTATTCTGAAGGCCAGGTTCCGACGCCTGACCTTTGTAGAGTCTAAGTCAGTAGATAAAGTTGTGCAGATCGTCGTTACCAACATCATACCGCTGATCCCTCTCAGGAGCTGTCTAATGCCCGGTACCGTCGCCTTCAACGCAACAGTGGAGTCGCACATGCGCATCGTAAAACGCCAACTCCTCTAAAGACGCCACAGTCTTCACGTGGTGGACTTGTCCGACGACTGCTAAAGGACACTGCCACGCGTGTGAAAGAAGATGCTATCCTTAGTCGCCCAGCCCCGAGATGCAAGAAGCAGAAACCACCGCTTGTGAATCCAAGACAGGAATAATTATGGGCGAAGAGAAATCGTCACGCTCAGGCGCCCTCCTTGTACGAGCGCATAACGCCTCCCAGCGCAGTGGCTCGTTGTGTCCCTTCGCAAGAAGGGAAGCGCCACAGGCTTCAGCGCAGCGAGCAACAGCGCCGCGGACACTGCGACAGCAGGTTCCAGCGCCGCGAGTTCCAGCGCCACAGGCTTCAGCGCAGCTAGCAACAGCGTCGCCGACACTGGGACAGCAGGCTTCAGCACAGCGGACACTGGGACAGCAGGTTCAAGCGCCGCGAGTTCCAACGCCACAGGCTCCAGCGCCGCGTGCTCAAACGCCACAGGCTTCAGCGCAGCGAGCAGCAGCGCCGCGGACACTGGGACAACAGGTTCCAGCACAGCGGACACTGGGAAAAGAGTCTCCAGCACAGCGGACACTGGAACAGCAGGCTCCAGCGCCGCGCGTACCACCGCTACCGGTACTACGGCCGCGGAATACAGCGTCCTTCCGAGTTGGCACACAGCTTTCTCTGGAAAGCCTGGTGTCTTTGGAGAGCTGCGCAGTGCGCACGGTTGGATGATGAGGTTATCAATGCCTACATGTCGGATCTGGTGCTTTATTCTGGAGTCGCATTTGGTATTTTCCGACTGTCAGTGATGCGCACAGTGCCCAGTACCAAGTAAACGCACCGAGCCTTGAAGAGGCATGGAGCTGACATCAGCTGGAAGCCGAGCGGGAGTCGTTCAGTGTATATCATAGCGCAGGTCGTATGGCTATCGAATGCGCATTCGGGCGATTGAAGGGCAGGTGGCGCAAATTGCAGAAGGGGCCGACAGCGCTAAGGTTTGGCTGATGCCACTCAACAGGGGTGCCGCCCTCTGGGCCTTTTCCTAGCTGGGCACCCGACAGGGGCGTAATCGGCCTGACGCAGCAGCTCCTAGATGCTGGTGAATATACCACACCGAACATCACCATTGGCAAGACTGGAGCGTGGTGCTGCCAAGAAATGTTTCACGCCAGACCGATTCACATTCGTGCGGTGTTCACAGCTGCCGGCACACCCGGCTGGGAAACCCAGTGAGTGTTCGCTGGGCGCGCCCCTGCGCGCAGAGTGCACCCCTGCACCGCCCGCTGGGCGCGCCCCTGAGCGCCGAGTGCACCCCTGCACCGTTCGCTGGGCGCGCCTCTGCGGCCAGCGAACCGATCGGTTCACCTGAGGCCCAGACTCACAAAGGGAAGTCATCTATGTCGTTCGGTATGTGTGGCAGTCAGTTGTGACTTGTGATCACAAATCGATTGGAAATACACTCCCTTTTCATCAAAAATATTGCTGGTACCTATGTTTGACGTAGGCTAGCCTAAACAGCAAGTTGTGATTTCAATGAGCCTTCAGTGAGGGGCGCGCACATCTTCGAATTGGACGAGGGAAGCGTATGAACACCATTAAAATGAACACGTAGGGTCGCCCAGTCTCCCATGTGTATCGGGATGGCCAGAGAAAGGCTGCGATGCAGTTCAGATCTATGCAGATCCCAGTCGCTGCCGAGGAACGGCAGGAAGACATAGAAGCCCGGGCTACAGACAGCCTGGGGCAGGGCGAATTTTCTGAGCCAACGATACCGCTTCGCAGTTCCGCTGTTGGAACCAGGATCGAGCGCGACCTTCGATCCGGCAGTGGAGTCACCAGAGCAGAGCTCTGGAGGCCTTAGGGCCCGGAATATGGTTCCTCCTCCGATGGAGAACCGGGATTGGATGTGTCCGATTCCCGTGGCCAGCAAGATGGCCTATCGGGCAAACAGCCCGTCAGAGGACAGCTGCATCGGGACGAGCTGTACGCTCAGATCCCGACTCGTCCCGAGAGGACGCCTCCGATATATCGACGATCCCCAGAGGACAAAGAGAGCGCCCGATCGCTATTTCACTTAGAGTAGTGTTGTATGGATGCTATTAATTGTCGGTACCTATGTTATAAGGTATAAGGTTCTGGAAGGTCTGGGAGTCCTGTCAGTTCCCTGGCATGGGGTTGTGTGAGTTAGCATGAGGAGTTAAAGGACAGATTTACCTATCAGATGAGCCATAGTCAAGCATTTTCCATCGGCCTTCCATAAAACCTTTGGAGCAGCATTACCTCTGGTGTAATGATTCCTGACAATGTCATATCCTGTTGCAACATTTCCCTGACCGTTAATAGACCCTTGGACATCCGCTGCCGTCATATCACCCTTACCTCTGGTCTAATCAACCAGGAGGGCAAATGATCTGGTTCATTGTACGGCTGTTCTTAAATATTGAGATGACTTTCGCCCGACCCTGGGGGCGCGGTGGCGAGACCGGGCCGGAGCGCGAGGTCACGACTTTCACGCCGCACAGCCGTGCCACGTGAAGTACACGTTTCTCCGACGTTTAGAATATGTAATTTATTGTATTTGTATACTTAGCACTGCAATGGAACAGGCTTTTTCTCCTGTAGCTCTTTATAGCAAACAAAGAATAAATAGGAGCAGACCTGGTATGCGGATCGCCATTATTTCTTGTGTGAAATAGATCACGACGTATTACGGTATGCGCACGTAATAACTTGTTGGCCCAGGAGACGGTCTGCCCCACGCGAACATTATTCTCTGGATCGACCCCGAAGATAAGCCGCGGACGGACACAATCGACCAGTTCGTGTCGGCCGAGATCCCCGACCCGGTGGCGGAGCCAGAGCTACACGCCACCGTGACCACCAAGATGGTGCACGGCCCGTGCGGCGCCCACCGGCCGGCAGCCTCTTGCATGACGGACGGCGTGTGCAGCAAACGGTACCCCAAGTCGTTCGCCGCTGTCACCGCGGTGACCGACAATGGGTACCCCCAGTACCGCCGCCGGAGCCCAGCGGACGGTGGACGCACCGTCGTGCTCGACAGGCAGGGCCGCCAGGTTGTCATTGACAACCGTTGGGTCGTCCCCTATAACCCCCTCCTCAGCCGCGCCCTGGACTGCCACGTGAATGTCGAAATAATAACTCACGCCTTCACGTGCATAAAATATGTGATAAAATATGTCACTAAGGGCGCCGATCAGGTGATGTTCAGGGTTGCGGATGGGGAGGAAGTGGTGGACGAGATCGCCACCTACCAGCAAAGTCGCTACCTCAGCACCATGGAGGCGGCCTGGCGTCTGCTGGCCTACCCGGTCCACGACCACGCGCCGACGGTGGAGCGGCTGCCGGTGCATCTGGGCGGCGAGGACCAGCCGCTGCGCTTCGCCGCCGGCGACAGGCTGGACGAGGTGGTGCAGCGCGGGGCGGACACCAAGCTAACCAGCTTCTTCAAGCTATATGCTGAAGATGATTTCGCAGCCACTCTGTTCTACCACCAGGTGCCCCGCTACTTCACCTGGCAGCAGCCGACGCGCAGCTGGCGGCGGCAGCGCACCTCGCCCAGAGGCAGCCGGCATTTTTGTCGCGCAAGCCATTGGGCGCGTCTTCAGTGTGAGCCCGCGCGCTGCAGAGTTTTTCTTTTTGCGCGTGCTGCTCCACCAGGTGCCTGGGCCACGGTCCTACGCGGATCTACGGACAGTGGACGGCCGCCTTTGCGCCACCTTTCAGGAGGCCTGCTCGGCGCTGGGCCTGCTGGAAGACGGCCAGCACTGGCACCGGGCCATGGCGGAGGCGGCCGTCATCGCCTTTCCGCGGCAGCTGCGACGGCTGTTCGCCGCGGCGCTCTGGCTGGCCCAGGAGACGCCCGATGGCCATCGAAGACTTAAAGTCGTACTTCATGAAGACGGCGGCGCTCTGGCTGGCCCAGGAGACGCCCGATGGCCATCGAAGACTTGAAGTCGTACTTCATCAAGACGGCGGCACTCTGGATGGCCCAGGAGACGGCCGAATGCCATCGAAGACTTAAAGTCGTGCTTCATCAAGACGGCGGCGCTCTGGCTGGCCCAGGAGACGCCCGATGGCCATCGAAGACTTAAAGTCGTACTTCATCAAGACGGCGGCGCTCTGGATGGCCCAGGAAAAGCCCGATGGCCATCGAAGACTTAAAGTCGTACTTCATCAAGACGGCGGCGCTCTGGATGGCCCAGGAGACGGCCGAATGCCATCGAAGACTTAAAGTCGTGCTTCATCAAGACGGCGGCGCTCTGGGGCCCAGGAGACGGCCGATGGCCATCGAAGACTTAAAGTCGTACTTCATCAAGACGGCGGCGCTCTGGATGGCCCAGGAGACGCCCGATGGCCATCGAAGACTTAAAGTCGTACTTCATCAAGACGGCGGCGCTCTGGATGGCCCATGAAACACCCGATGGCCATCGAAGACTTAAAGTCGTACTTCATCAAGACGGCAGCGCTCTGGATGGCTCAGGAGACGCCCGGTGGCTTGTGGATCACGCACGGCATGCACCGGCTCCTGGACTGGCTGGAGCAGCGCCTCGATGACGGAGTGCTGCCCTGCTACTTCTACCCGGCCATCAACGTGGCGGCGGAGCTGACCGCGGAGTAACGTCAGGCCATCATCAGTTCCCTCCGACTGGTGTGTGAGCACTAACAGTCAACAGTCCTGATGGCCAGCTGTGAGAAGAAGTGGTCCCTGAACACACTGCTGGGGGGCGTTACTAGGCGCCTTACATCTGTAAAATTGTAAAACTCATGGTAACTCACTGTTCATCGTCAAAACTTCCCTCTGTGTTAACTATTTCCTTGGGTAATATTGTTCGTCATTATCAAACGAGCAGAACCTGAAGTGGTTCAGTGCAAACATATATTGTGACTGACTGCTCGTGTCACATTCACACTCACAAACTGACACTATCCGAGCTTACTGTGTCGTCTCATTCACACTCACAAACTGACACTTTCCGAGCTGCTGATCGTGTCGCTTCACTGGTTGAAGATCTCTGGACTGTCGCAAGTGATTGATAGTTACTTCACCAGATCATATAGTTATAAGATTGTTATTCACAAGATTGTGGTAACATTGCTCATCCTGCGCCATTATTGTATTTTTTCTTGTTATCTCAACGTTAAGGCACAATGACAGACTCAAAGCCAGACCTGAGAAGTTTGAAGGTCAAACGAGGTCATGTCAAACGTGTTATCACTCTAACGCTCAAGAGCCTGCAGCAGGAGGATGTACATCCAAACATTGCAAGTGATTGTGTGTCGAGCATACAACAAAAGCTGAAGGAAGTAGAGGAATATGACATGTCAGTTGCTACGGAGCTGGCTGATGAAGATGGAGAAGGTGAATGATATGAAGAAGGGTGAAGGGTGAAGAAGGCGAGAAGAGACGACACGACATTTTGGCGACGAGGATGAGATGTGGGAGAATTGTGAAACCGCCCGACCGGTTTGGTTTCTAATGGTTGGCTTAAAAGGGAGAGGCAGATGTAGTGTATTGATTGCCCGCCGCGTCTTTTCGTTAACCTGCGTATCTGTTCGTCTTTTTGACAACCCGCGTGTGTGTCAAAAAGACGAACAGATACGCAGGTTAACGAAAAGACGCGGCGGACAATCAATACACTACAGGTACAGATCTGGAATGACCTGTAATGCGGATCCCATTATTTCTTGTGTGAAATAGATCACGACGTATTACGGTATGCGCACGTAATAACTTGTTGGCCCAGAAGACGGTCTGCCGCACGCGCACATTATTATCTGGCTCGACCCCGAAGATAAGCCGCGGCCGGACACAATCGACCAGTTCGTGTCGGCCGACATCCCCGACCCGGTGGCGGAGCCAGAGCTGCACGCCACCGTGACCACCAAGATGGTGCACGGCCCGTGCGGCGCCCACCGGCCGGCAGCCTCTTGCATGACTGACGGCGTGTGCAGCAAACGGTACCCCAAGTCGTTCGCCGCTGTCACCGCGGTGACCGACAATGGGTACCCCAAGTACCGCCGCCGGAGCCCAGCGGACGGTGGACGCACCGTCGTGCTCGACAGGCAGGGCCGCCAGGTTGTCATTGACAACCGTTGGGTCGTCCCCTATAACCCCCTCCTCAGCCGCGCCCTGGACTGCCACGTGAATTTCGAAATAATAACTCACGCCTTCACGTGCATAAAATATGTGATAAAATATGTCATTAAGGGCGCAGATCAGGTGATGTTCAGGGTTGCGGATGGGGAGGAAGTGGTGGACGAGATCGCCACCTACCAGCAAAGTCACTACCTCAGCGCCATGGAGGCGGCCTGGCGTCTGCTGGCCTACCCGGTCCACGACCACGCGCCGACGGTGGAGCGGCTGCCGGTGCATCTGGGCGGCGAGGACCAGCCGCTGCGCTTCGCCGCCGGCGACAGGCTAGACGAGGTGGTGCAGCGCGGGGTGGACACCAAGCTAACCAGCTTCTCCAAGCTATGTGCTGAAGATGATTTCGCAGCCACTCTGTTCTACCACCACGTGCCCCGCTTCTTCACCTGGCAGCAGCCGACGCGCAGCTGGCGGCGGCGGGGCACCTCACCCAGAGACAGCCGGCATTTTTGTCGCGAAAGCCATTGGGCGCGTCTTCAGTGTGAGCACGCGCGCTGGAGAGTCTTTCTTTTTGCGCGTGCTGCTTCACCAGGTGCCTGGGCCACGGTCCTACGCGGATCTACGGACAGTGGACGGCCGCCTTTGCGCCACCTTTCAGGAGGCCTGCTCGGCGCTGGGCCTGCTGGAAGACGGCCAGCACTGGCACCGGGCCATGGCGGAGGCGGCCGTCATCGCCTTTCCGCGGCAGCTGCGACGGCTGTTCGCCGCGGCGCTCTGGCTGGCCCAGGAGACGCCCGATGGCAAAGTCGTACTTCATCAAGACGGCGGCGCTATGGATGGCCCAGGAGACGGCCGATGGCCATCGAAGACTTGAAGTCGTACTTCATCAAGACGGCGGCGCTCTGGCTGGCCCAGGAGACGGCCGATGGCCATCGAAGACTTAAAGTCGTACTTCATCAAGACGGCGGCGCTCTGGATGGCCCAGGAGACGCCCGATGGCCATCGAAGACTTAAAGTCGTACTTCATCAAGACGGCGGCGCTCTGGATGGCCCAGGAGGCGGCCGATGGCCATCGAAGACTTAAAGTCGTACTTCATCAAGACGGCGGCGCTCTGGATGGCCCAGGAGACGGCCGATGGCCATCGAAGACTTAAAGTCGTACTTCATCAAGACGGCGGCGCTCTGGATGGCCCAGGAGACGCCAGATGGCCATCGAAGACTTAAACTCGCACTTCATCAAGACGGCGGCGCTCTGGATGGCTCAGGAGACGCCCGGTGGCTCGTAGATGTGCGTCACGGACGGCGTGCATAGGCTCCTGGACTGGCTGGAGCAGCGCCTCGATGAGGGTGTGCTGCCCTGCTACTTCTACCCGGCCATCAGCGTGGCGGCGGAGCTAACCGCGGAGTAACGTAAGGTCATCATCGGTTCCCTCCGACTGGTGAGGGAGCGCTCAACACACAACACCCCTCAAAATGGTCTGCTGTGAGAAGCAGTGGTCCCTGAACACACTGTTTTGGAGGGCGTTATTAGGCGCCTTACGCGCCGACACCAACATTTCCTGTCGGCTTTGACTGGCACGAAAAAAGTCCAGAAAAGAACCTGTAAAATCCTGGCAGAATACGACACAGACTACGCCCCTGCCTGCCAGCTCCTCAACCTCGAGACTCTGAGTGAGCGTCGCGATGCTGCCCTCCTGGGAAAGAAGTAAGGTGAGGATTATCCCAAGTCGCCCGGCCTCAAGACACAAGAAGGGAAGCGCCACAGGCTTCAGCGCAGCGAGCAACAGCGCCGCGGACACTGGGACAGCAGGCTCCAGCACAGCGGACACTGGGGCGGCAAGCTCTATCCTCACGAGCTCCAGCGCCGAGGACACTGGAATAGCAGGTTCCAGCGCCGCGAGTTCCAGCGCCACAGGCTCCAGCGCAGCGAGCTCCAGCGCCGCGGACACTGGGACGGACAGCAGGCTCTATCGTCACGAGTTCCAGCACCGAGGACAAAGTCCGGGCAAATTCCAGCGCCCGGCCAAGCGGCCCATGGTAGGATGGACGAGCTCTGCGGGGTCTGTGGGGAAATCGGCTTTAATCCGGACCGCCCTAACTGCAGAGGTAATGTCACGACAATCATGCGTGTGTTCGCGAACGGCCCTAAGCCCCAGTACCGTTGCGTGCGGTGCCGCAAGCAGCTGTTGCAGCTGCACGGTGTGAGGCCGGTTGTCCCGTTTTTTTTTTTAAGTTTCATATAAATCGTATTTCAGCATTTCCGGACCTCACGGCAAGAAACACTCAGACATATCACAAAAACGACACTGCACAGCCACAGCCGAGAGTCCCAGACGGCGGAATACGAAAAACGCGCGGTCGTTGAACCAGGCAGCCTGGCCGAACCCCAGAGCCTGGCCGTACTTTCCAGATGGCACACTCTACGTCGAGAATGAGGCGGTTGTCAAGTTCAAAGAGCTGACCTCGGCGGTCTGCAACTTTTGATCTGGGGGGCATATTTTACCATTTCGCCCAACTCTACACAAGGCCCTGCATCAGTATCACTGGGTACCTCATGTGCGTAAAGGTACTACACATAACACCAATCCCCCAAAAAAGTGACTGCGGATGGCGCAGTATGTATAGAAGGTGTAAGGTGTGTGCCTCTCATTAGTACATGTTTCCGGTGCCACCTATGTAACCTGTTTTTAATCACTAGTGACGTTATACCTGCGTGGCGGCAATAGGTATGCTTTAGACTTCGTACAATTAACATTATTATCTCGGTATATTTATCACTAGTAACGACACCTGCGTGTAACGACACCTGCAAGGCGGCAATAGGTACGCTTTAGGTTTCATATAATTAACACTATTTCACCTCTGCCGAGAACTCAGTTCAGCTCCACAGTACGTCCCAACCCGCGCCTGGCCTGTGATGCGTCATCTGTTATTCATGCCGCTCCGCGCTCACCACTCAGCGGCTGGCGCCAGGACACAAAGCGACCGCAGCCGACGCTCTCTGAACATCTCAACACACGCATGTGTCTCTTGCAACACTTCTAGCCTGCTAAATGTCCACTAATGGTTTTGACGTGTTTCTTGGAACTCTCCTGCGCCGCGTTACGGTCCAAACACTATGCAGCAGCGGTCATTGGGGCTCCGAAGAAGAATCACACCTCAGTTTGGCTTGTTTCATGTTTGACGCGGCTCAGACATTACTGGCGCACTTTCCCGCATTACAGGCGGTGAGTTGGCCAGTGTCCTTTGCCCACTGGATTTTCGCGCTCATTTAAGTACCTACGAAAAAAAAAATTATGGTATTTACATATCAAAACTGGCGTAAGTTTTTCAAAACTTTACCAAATATATCGTATTTAAATATAGTTACCAAGGGAATCATGTAGCCAGTTTAATAGGTATGACGTGAATAATACAGAAAATGAGTTACGCTATAGTGTACTAAATTTATTTTCTTACGAATCAGGCAATATTTTCACTGCGTAGGGGTTTGAGCCGTGCGGTTTGCGCAGTTTGCGTGTAGTAGTTGTTCGGGACATGGCGGTATAGATTTATTTTCATTACATTGTTTGAATTTCTCAGACTACGATCTGTGTCTGCTTCTGATGCTGGTGTAATTATTTTGGGCTTTTCACAACAGCACCTAGTTTGATAAGGATAGGATGGCTTCATACTTATTTAATGTTAAATAATTTGTTATTTTGTAACATTTCAATATGTTTTATAGTAAATGATAAAATATGAATGCTTTTGTGTCTTCATTTTTAAACCAGAAAGTGATTGTTCATTGTAGCAAGCTAGTGTCTATGTTCTCGTTGGAGTGAGCATATTTTTGATGTGTGTTCATTGCACAAAGATACCATGTTAATGAAGTTCTTGGTTTTTATCGTAGTTAATACTAGAAGACCATGTAACTGGATTTATAGATATTAAGTGTCCCAAAAATTTTTAGATTGGGTGGGAAGTTTAAGTGACGTCCAATTCAAAATAGGTACCTAATTTTTCACTCTCACCTCCAATTTTTTAGATCAATTTTCACTCCCTATTGTGTTAATGAAGAGCATCTGTGTGTCCGCATGTGTGCCTTTTTCCTCCTTCCACAGTCCACATTCAATTCAATTATTTTATAAAGCAGCTCTCACATCCTCCAATATTCAAAAATAAATTGTAGACCCTGTTTGCCGCTCTTTTTTGTGCCGTTCTGACTGGCAACTTTCCACTCTCAGCCCTCTTTGTAGTGGTGAATATTCCCCTCTGACACCCAAGCCAAAATATAATTTTGGGACACTGTAGATATTATTTTTGCAGGTATACGTAAAGCAGCACTTCAGAGTTGATATTTTACTTGGCATTTCTTACTTAACACATAACTTATCTACATGGGCCTTTGGGCCTTAAAGATCTATCATAGCCATACAAAGACAATCAGCTCTATTCAATGATTTTCAGATGCAAGGCATTAGTACTGAAAAGTTTTACGGACCTCCAAAGAAGACAGTATTCAAGTCATCGATAGTTCTTGTGGCTGAGTCATTAAATCCAAAAATTTTCAAAGCTCTCTGGTTCCCCTTGCGGCAAAATTCTAAGTGCAAGATTCGGATTCCAATCTTGCACGAAGACCTACACTTCTTCAAACGGATCAACCTTGATGGCATCCTCAGGTGCAGTGACACCTACAGGCCAGACTGGCACAAGAGATATGTGAACGACCAAGGGGACATTAACAAGGTGAACCCTGGAAAATGCACCACTGCAGTGGCAAAAGTCCGCAAGGACAAGCACTACATGCCAGTAGGTGGTGCCATTGTGGCCAAAGACAGGCATCATGGCTACGAACTGGTAGTGACCATGTGGAGGGAGAGGCAGCCAGCAGGTCAGCCTGACTAAAGCTGAGGACGTGGACTGAGGATGAGCTGATGTTGGTTGCAGATCAACAGGGCTGCTGTTTAGTGTATATTATACGCAGTACACTTTTTACTGTTGTCCAATAATTGTTTTTGGATCTCATTCTTGGCTGTGTGTATATATGCACTTGCTTGGTTGTGTACATATATGTAGAGGTGTTTACATGGCTTTTATTAGCATGAGTGTATGATTGATAATGTATGTAGTGTGTCAGCCCAGAAATGTTCTTTGGATGTGGTGAAGAGAAGCCTAATTGAGCTGTGTATTGAGTGTAACTTTAATCATACTGAGGTGTATCAAAAACTTGTTGAGATAGATGCTGTCAAAAATTATGGTTTCATTTCTTTGGTAGGACGTGAGTAGAGGTGGCAAAATGTGGACCCGGGGACCCGGTCTATAGACCCGGTCTGGACCCGGATGGGTCCAGACCGGGTCCCCCAAAATATTTGGCCGGGTCCAACCGGGTCCTATCATTCCCCTGTACTTTATGGTAAATGTTAATATCTTTTATGCTTTGGCAAACATAGTTGATGCAGTTTCCAGTCCATGAGTCCTAATTCCACTTTTGAATTTTCATATTCCTGCAGATTGGGCTACCTATTCTATAGCAATTAGCATACTGGTCAGTCTTGCTTCAATTTCTTATCTTGTCACCTACAACAAAATAAACAAGTTTTAAGTGCTGGCAATGCAGAAAAAAAATCACCAAATGTTTGTACGCATCACTTCCATTCAGTTTGCTGTACAGCACCTAACAATATTTTGAGCTGTAGAAATCAAATACCAATGACATATGTAGGTAAGTAGGTATGATTGAAATCCATTTATAAATGGACACAAATCTAATTGAAGCAAGGCTGACCAGTGGCATTCTTACCTGCCTTTTCAAAGACATTGATATACCAAAGTCAGCTGGTACTATGCCCACCAGAAATTGGAGTTCATGTTTGATATTCAAAAGCATTTCATAACTCGAACAGCCTTGAAATTATTTCTATCACGGCCAGAAGACAACTCATAAACCCAACATGCCCTTGGATAAATCCAGAAAGCTCAAAATGAATCACTGAGTCTAGAACGGTGAGGAACCTCGGAGTGACGATGCGGACCGTCATTTGAGTTTTGAGCCGCATGTCGACAGCGTTACACAGAAATGTACTGGCATGCTCATAGCACTGATGCATGCACGTCATGTTGTGCCGAGGTCTGCCTTGAAGTGCATCGTCCAGTCACTGGTGATCTCGGTATTGCGATACTGTTCGTCCGTCTACGGATCGTGCGGAGAGACGCAACTTCGGCGGCTCCAAAAAGTACTGAACTTCTGTGCCCGGGTCGTGTCGAACAAGCGGCGTCGCGACAGTGTGGTATCTGTAATGCGCGAATTGAAATGGTTATCTGCCAAGCGACTAATTGACTACCACACTGTGTGCGCTGTACAGCGAGCTATCGTATCTTCCCAGCCTGAGCGCCTGAGCAGCACCATAGGGCGCCAGGCGAGCAATCGCCACCAGCACGACACAAGGCGCGCCAGTTTGCTCACGCTCCCGTCCATTCGGACGGAGGCAGGCCGACGGCGGCTGTGCTACAGGGGAGTGGCACGACTCAACCAGCTCAAAGTTGACCCAATGGTGTCATCTTTCAGAGCTAACGCTATGAAGGTGCTGCGAGCAATGCCTGAACAAGATGCTTAGATTGTGTGTGTCTATGTTGAGCATACGTACTGTGATTTGTGAATGCGTGGATGTGTGCTCGATATACTCCCCCCTCCCCATGATGTCCCCCATCGTATGACGTGAGCTTGTGAAAAGCCACTCCATTGTGTGGATCTGGCTCGAATATATCTGTATCTATCTGTAAATGAATCCAAGGCATTCTCCAGAAACAGTGGTATTGACCAGATTTTTAGCCAACTGGCGCCGCATGATGGCGCTAGCAGAGCGTATTACACGTATAGCGCTCTACTAGCGCCATCATACGGCATCAGATGGCAAATAACTGAGTCAATACCAATGCCCTTCTCCAAGGCCAATGATTCCGTGTTGATATGAAAATGGCGCATTTGAGCGTCATATATGCTAAGCCTTACGCACGCTAATCTACTGCAAAAAGGCTACAATTTTGGAACACGTTCGGGAAGAGGACAAAACCTCCACTCTAGCACATACTAAACGCCTAATGACATCTGATACAAAGACCCCAAATACATTAACGAATAGATGTGCATCAGGAACGGATTTTCCTACTAGTTCAGCATTGTGATAGTTTGTAGATTGTTATACCTATGCAGTTACTCTGCTCATGGATCCCAGGTCAAAGACGACAAGACCAAAATCAGGTAAGTCTCAGCACCCTTGATATTTATTCTATATCTAGGTACTAACAACAAAATGTAGCTTGCTTTCTACGTTAATGAATTGGCATTTAAGTCATGATCGCAACCTTGCAGTACTTTAAAGTTTAAAGCTATTACGACTTTGCAGTACTTTAACCCCAACAGAATTTTGCAGTGATTTAACGCCTGCTTTGTCCTTGAATTGCTATCGGTGTCGACATTTCTGGCGGACTTCATAAAGTTTTGATGTTTCTATTTTTATTTTGAATATTTTCTGGTTTGGGACGTTGGATAGTTGATAATATTTGTAAGGACTAATGTATTTAATTCTAAAGACGAATATCTTTTACCAAGAATATTAGAAAAGGTATGTATCAGTATGTGAGATGCGTATCTTGTTCAATGTTGATGTTAGGTTCTGACTGGTGAAGGCACTGCTCCATGGATCCCCACTCCCCAGTTCACATCATTTTTAGCAGCTGCAGTAAAAGGGGCTTAGGTAAGCATGAAATTCATTGGTCTTCTTACTTCTTATATTCTTAAATATGACCTGAATCTGGTTTTAAGTACAAACTGTGAAGCAAAGTAAAATGATCATGGCATGAGTTTTTTACTTTGCAACACAAGTATGCCCAATTGGACAGAAAATATTTTCTTCTTGCTATACCTACAACTGTATACAATATTCATTATTCATATCATAATGGATTTAGGGAACGGGTCCATCTGGTTCCAACGCTGACTTAGACCGGGTCTGACCGGTTCCAGAAATTTGCCAGTGAGACCGGGTCCGGGTCCGGTTCCCAAAATTTTCCAGTTTTGCCACCTCTAGACGTGAGCTTCAAACCTTCAAGAAACAAATATGTTACATAAGTTGTAGATATAATGCTGCTAAAAGGAAAGGTGGTCACCCATGTGCAAAGTTTTTGACTAAGGCAGAGAAACAAATTGTGTCTATAAAATTGTCCAGTGTAGTAAAATCCTGTGTGGATAATACCATTGTAGATTGTTTTGATGTGGTGAATGGTGCGTCAGCTGGACATGAGAGTGATGGACATGGATTTGGCAGTGGTGCATCTGGGCATGCTAGTGACAGTGGGGCAATCAGACATGACAACCAAAATGGTGATGAGAGGTTAACCTCTTGCGGGGAGTCACCAAACAGTGAGCGTGTCAAAAGGGCAAGTGATGAACTACTTAGTCAATCACAAGCCGAGTGCAGGCGGCTCCGATCCGAGAATGCCCAGCTGCGTTTGGACTTGTACAGAGCCCAGCTGAGGGAGAGGCGCAAGGAGCAACGCCGCCCATTGGAAACGTATAGCAGACGACATCAGCACCGAATCAAGGCCCAGCTTGCTGCTACTGCGGCAGCCTATGGACTCCAGCTGGCGCCCCAGCACACGCCCCCGCCAACCACCGAAACCGCCGATGTACGTCGTGTCACAGCTGTTCTGGATGAGAATAACATCTCCCTGCGGAAATACAGCCGAATAGCTGCCCTCACTCCATCTCTCCCAAGAAAACACGCCGTTCGAGCGCATCAGCAAAGGTAAGATAGCACGCTATAATGCTGGTGTATGCTGTGTTGGTCGGGATACTTTATACGGGATCTATTTATTGTAGAAAAAGGTTGCCGCATCATTTAACAAACGAAATGCGTCAGTCGAAATAACAGATTCGTCCGACACGTAGATGTTTGAGGAGTTAACTTCTCAAGACAGGTGTGATATTATGCTGGTACTGGATTTTGGTGCCGTGGATATTCCTAACGCTGGCATGTCTATTTTTCCTCAGGCTGAATAGCTCCGTTCGTGTGCACGATTGCGAGGGTGGCGCCCGGCGTGATCTCGAAGACGTCCTCACCGAACTTCAGCCAACCGTCGCTAAAGGCAACAACGGTTCCATCAGAGTGAAATTAGCAGGTAAGCATAGCAGACTGGTATTATGAAACTAACACAAGCATTCGTTTAATCCCACAAAAGATAAAGCACCCATTGCTTGTCGATGTTATGTGTCATTCTGCATTATGAAAAAAAAAACTGACAATGAAGCTATAGGATTTATGCTTGACTCAGATGCAAAGTCAGGATGTGAACAATGCTTCTGCAGTGTTATAATTTGCCATTTTTAACGCATGCTTATTAGGGTGGTAGGCAAAATATCAACTTAGTAATTTTTGTCAGGCCAGGTGATAATTTTGTTCCTTTCCCTAACGTGAGTGTGTCACAGAAATTTCACTGCGATATTCAGTTGTTTACCCCTGCCGCATCGACCTTTTCGGTACGCATCGAACCTTGGCTGAAGTCTTCCCTGAATGAGGGTTTCCTTTCTCAACAGCAGCACAAAAGGCTACCATAACCGTTTATATTCACGTTCTAGGTTCAAGAGTACCTCAATGATGTTGCTGTCGCGGACTCTGCCGCTACCGCCGAGCCGCGCCGGTACGTGCTGCGTTGTTATAGGGCCTTGCGTGCTGCCATCTATTGGCCTGTCTTGAACTTACTAGGGAGCGGCGGCTCCGCCATACTACGGAGCGGCGGAACGGTAGAGAACCGTTGTCATGGCGACGCGGCCAGTAGAAACCGGTAGAATTCGTCGTCAGCTGAATGTTTATACTTTTTGGAGGGAAACAGAGATGGATTAAGAGATTAGGGGAGTTTTTTTTTAGATGTCGGACGGTCGGTTCGGTTGGTGAATTTTGTGTGTGATGTCGGTCGGTCGGTCGGTCGGTTATGTGGATTTGAGAGAAAGTGTTGGTCGGTCGGTCGGTCAGTTATGTCGGTTTGGTTCGGTTGAAGATGCCGTTTGTGAATAATAACGGAAGGTTTGTTTGATAAGGTTGTTTGATACCACAGTTGCCTTTTTGATCAGCTGTAGGCTACTAATGTCTAACTTGCTCCGCTTCTGTTTCTCCCACAGGTAACTATGGCTGCTAATGCCAAAACTCGATCGCGCCATACTGTTTACCTACTGGGAAACGTGACTGGTGAACCAATCCTTGGAGCAAAACTTCCTACTGTTGGTCAGGCTCTATCCTTCTTCTACTGGAAACTCAAGGAAGACAAAGTTTCCGTCCGGGGAAGTGCTGCGGCAACGGTAGAAGAGGTTGCAAAGACATGGACACGCGCTAATCTCCCAATGTGCCAGGTGAAGCATAGCATCACACGAGTGGAGAAGTTCTACGAGTCCTGGAGGACGCTGCAGAAGGGAGCCAAGAGAGGAGGCCCGACGCAAAAGAAAAAGGAAGAGGAATTCCAGGCCACTCTCAACCAGACGTTGGATCTCCGCCATCAGGACTGGAGGACTCTGGTGATCTGCCAAGAAGATCGGGTCTTCCTTCAGGACCAGTTTTCCGAAAGAAGGGCAACTATTGGTGCCTTGGACAAAACGTTTGAAAAGAAGATGAAGAGGAAAGCTGACAAGGTAGCCGCCGAGGATGCTCGGAAGAAGAAAGAAGCAGCAAGGAAGTCATTCAGTAGTTTCGGGGCTGTTGCGGAGTCTTCGGACTCCGACTCCGCATCTTCTACCAACTCTTCCTCATCCGAGTACGAAGGGGCCTCTCCGCCTAAGCAGAAACGTCCCATCAACATCATCTTCCCGGAAGTGGCCGCAAGTCTGGACAGGACAAAGACAACAGATCGGATGGCAGTGCACACCATCGCAGCCATCTCCAGAGCTCAGGGAGTGAACCCCGAAGAGCTAGCTCTAAATAAGTGGACCATCAATCGAAGCAGGCGAGCTCATAGGACTCAAGTCATGGAGGACCTACAAGCTGAGTTTGCTGAAACTGTCAATGGTCCGCTGGTCGTACATTGGGACGGAAAGCTTCTTCCTGATCTTATGGGAACCGGAAAACACGAGAAGGTGGATCGTCTCCCCATCATCGTCTCCAGTTCCAGTCGGGAGCAGCTGCTCAACGTTCCTAAGCTGCCAAGCGCAGCTGGTCACGCAATGGCGGACGCTGTCGTAGCCTCGCTGAAGAGCTGGCGTCTCACCGATCACGTGAAGGCCATGTCTTTCGACACGACCGCCAGTAACTCGGGAGTTCGGGGAGGTGCAGCTGTCTTGATCGAAGGGAAGCTGGGCAGAGATCTGCTGTTCCTCCCCTGTCGTCACCATATTCTGGAGATCGTCTTGGCGGATGTGTTCAAGTCCCTCTTCGGGCCAACTTCTGGCCCGGAGATCCCCATCTTCAAACGCTTCAAGGAAAAGTGGTCCTTTGTCTGTCGGGATCGACCGGAGGAGGGTGCGCTGGATAAAGAAACGGCCGTCATCCTCGCTGGACATCAGGATCTCAAGACTGCTGCTTTGGAGTATGCCATGGAGACTGTGGAGCAGGACCACCAGCGCGACGACTTCCGCGAGCTCTTGGAGCTCACGATCGTCTACCTTGGCGGAGTCCCTCCCAGAGGCATTCGGATCATGGCACCCGGAGCCATGCACCAGGCCCGATGGATGGCCAAAGCAATCTACGGATTGAAGATCTTCCTGCTCCGGAGCCAACTCAAGCTGACAGTGAAGGAGACCACGGCCCTGAGAGTTTTCAGTCTCTTCGTCACCTTGGTGTACACTGAGGCCTGGTTCCCCCCGCAGGGGGCTGACCGTGGTCAGAGCTGCTGCTTAGCCGGGGTCATCTGGCTCCGGCTGTGCGGCGGCTGTGACTTCGGCCAGTAAGGGGAGTAGCGCCCCTTCGGCCCCAGCTTGACGCGCGTTTTGACTTGGACTTGCCTTGCTTACTGGATGGATTGTCTGCAGGACTGGCCCCGCAGGGGGTTGGCAGTGGCCGGGGTCGCTGTCGGACTGGGTTCCTTGGGCCTTTGCCCCGCGGCGGCCTTGGCCTCGGCCAGCAAGGGGAGTAGCGCCCCCTCGGCCCCAGCTTGACCCATGCTTGTTTGCGACTTGCTTTGATCGCTGGTTGGACAGATGGTACGGCCCGACTTTTCTTGGTTTTCGTGGTTTTGTTTCTCTTGAGCGGTCTCTGTTTGCTTTTGCTTTGCTTTTCACCGGATGTCCGCGTTTCTTTCGATCACAGCTTTCTGATTCTTTTCCTACCTTTTTCGTTGTTTTTGCACCCGCAGGAACACAGCCGAGTTGGGCTAGTGTAAGGGGAGTGGCGTCCCCTCGGGTACCAGCCGGTTTTACTAGGCTAGGCGAGCCGACCCGTACCCCAGGACAACGGGATCCTGGAGGTTGAGCCCCCCACCGTGCGGAGCCAGTCGCGGTGGCTGGGCAACACGCCTCTTTGGCCCTGAGTTCTGTAAGGGCGGGACACTCAGTGGGGCGCCGCACTTGAGGAGCCATTCCCAGTCGTGACGCCGCCGGGGGTGGTGTCTGAGAGGTGTCGCCGGCGGGGTTCGGGCACTTGTGCTCGTCCTCCGTCGGTGGGACTGATCTGTCGCTGCCCCTGGCGGTGACTCGGCTAGGCGTCAAGGGAGGAGGCGGTATCCGACCGTGGGGGGTGGTGAGTCTCTCTCTCCCCCGCGGAAGGTGCCGCCAAGTCCCGTACAGTCAGCTCGGCCGTCCCAGGCCTTGTAGCGGCGCCGTTGCGGAGCGTCGGCGGCCGAGCTGGCGGAGACCAAGCACACTCCATGGATAACTCGACCAACCCCCCTTCCCCCACTCTTACCAATCCTTCGGCCTCGGCCGATCCTCGCCCGTTGGCCTCGGCCGACAGGCGAACGGTGCTTGAAAAAGGTCCACGATCTCCTAAGATCCTCATCTTCCGGAGCGCAGACAGGGAGCTGAGCTCTCTGTCGCCCTTCCAGCGGAAGGATGGCTGCGACCGGTTTGGTTCGATAGTTCGTTGTGACCGGATGCGTGATGGCGCGCTGGAGGTCGAGTTCAGGAAAAGCGAGGAGGCGGCGAAAGCATTGGACGCTACTCGCTTCGTGTTCTCCGAGGGACGGGCATCCGGCCGGAGGCTCGTTTCCATCCCGCTTACAGTGGAGCCCCACCGTTCTAAGAACTCCTCACGAGGGGTCATTAACTGTTTCGATTTGAGGGGAGTGAGCGACGAGGATATTGCGGACGGGCTCGCCGATTTCGGCGTGACAGCGGCTCGCCGCATCATGACGAAGAGAGGCACGGTCTCGACCAACAACATCATTCTGACATTTGACTCTACCGACTTGCCGAGTGAGATTCGCGTGGGCTACGTGAAGGTTCGCGTGCGGCCTTTCGTCCCAGCGCCCATGCGCTGCTTCCGCTGCCAACGTTTCGGCCACACAAAGGACAACTGCCGAGGAAGACCCACGTGCTCCAAGTGTGCTTCGCAGGACCACACTGACGAAACCTGTGACTCGGAGACCCCCCGATGCGTCAACTGCGGAGAGGGGCAGACGCCGCACTCCGCGTATGATAGGTCTTGCCCTGCATACGTCAAGGAGAAAGAGATCATGACCATCAAGGCTACCAGAAATCTGTCTTTCAAAGAGGCCCGGGAGGTGTACAACCAGAGTCACCCGAAGACCTCGTATGCCCAGAAGGTGAGAGTCACAAACTCTACCGATGCCTCCCAGATGAGCGTAGCACAGCTCGTGCAGCTTCTCAAACGATTCGGCCTCACCGTCGTAGCCACTGGTGACTCAGCGGACAACACGGCGCCTCGTGCGCCGCCGAGCAACACAGAGCAGGCTGCTCAAGAGTCAGTGTGGGGTCCACCCAGTCCCGCTCCAGCCGCGAACGGTAATGGAGACGATTGGACCGTCGTCCAGCGCCGACAGGGTGGTCGGCGCCCCCCGGCGCAGGGTAAGGCGCCACCCACCCCGCCCCGCCCCCGACCGTCTACGGCGGTGCAGGAGGCTCTGCGGCGGGGGGAGGAGGAGAGAAGGGCACGTGAGGCGAGGAGGGCTCGCCTCGTCCAGAAGGCCCTCGAGGCTAAGGAAGCCTCGTCTGCCGACTCCGCCTCCGGGAGTGCCAATGCGGCTGTCGCCGCTGACACCCCGGAGACACCTGAGGCGGGGACTCGGCCCATCATGGGCCCCCCGCCGCCTCCTCCACCTCCGCAGCGGCGGCCACCACCGCCGCTGCCAGAGACGCCTGTGTCGAGGACACAGGCCGCCGCCTCGACATCCCCGTCGGGGCGGCAACAGCCCTCCGCGGCTCCAGGGCGCCTCGCCAAGCGGCAGACGCCCCCGAGCTGGTCACCTTCGGAGGGCGACGCCCCCCGGTCGAAAAGGCCCCAGCCGGGCCCGAGCCATGCCCGATCTGCCTCTGCTGAAGGGAGGCTTCACCGAGAGGGCTCAGGGCACCCCCGTATCCGTTACGGGGGGAGCGCCTCCTCGGAGTTAGAGGACCTAGTCTAGTCTTTCAGTCTAGTCATTTCCTCTTTTATCCTTTTATTTTTTTCGCGCTATTGCGCTTTTTTACCAGGTGCATTTCTCTCGGTGCTTTTTACCTTTTTTGTGGTCAGTCAGGTATCTGTGTGCGCCTTTGCCTCATGTTATACGCGCCCTTTTTGCGCCTTTTTAACCACGCCTTTTATTCTACAGTGGAACTGTAGAGGCCTCCGGGCCAACTACCAGGACCTACAGTCTCTTATCCGTAGGCGCACACCCCTTGTTTTAGGTCTCCAGGAGACCAAGCTAGCGCCAAACGTTACCTTTGCCATCAAGGGTTACTCTGTTTTTAGAAGAGACTTAGACACCCCGACCATTGCCCATGGAGGTGTACTTTTGGCAGTGCACCACAGTGTGCCCGCACGTCTGGTTCCGCTGCAGACTCCTCTGCAGGCGGTAGCCGTTAGAGTTGATTTCAACCACCGGGAGCTGACAGTTTGTTCTTTATACCTTCCACCAGGTATAGCGCTCCCGGTGGTTGAGCTGCATCGACTTGTCGATGAGCTTCCACCTCCGGTCCTGGTAGTCGGCGATTTTAATGCCCATAGCCTGGCGTGGGGATGCGACACGACTGGCACTCGTGGTCGACTTTTAGAATCTTTTATCCGCGATGAGGCGCTGTGTATTTTAAATACAGGACAGCGCACCCATTTTACAACACCCTCCGGTCAAACATCGGCTCTGGACCTGAGCTTAGTCAGTCCGCGGCTAGCTCAGCTTTTTACCTGGTCCGTCCATGACGACCCACTCGGGAGCGACCACTTCCCAGTGTGGCTGGAGCACCAGGAGTCCCCAGTGTCAGGCAACCGTCCACCCAGGTGGAATGTTCGGAAGGCCGACTGGGGCGAATTCCAGGCCGCCGTAGAGGCCACGGTTTTATCCAGAGCCGACGCCTCTGTGATGTCTACAGAGGATTTTACATGTTTACTCATTGACTCCGCAAACGGGTGCATACCCAAGACGTCGAGTCAGCCTCGTCGTCCTCCGGTCCCGTGGTGGACCAAGGAATGCGGAGATGCGATTCGTGCCAGGAAGCGCGCTTTTAGAAAGTTTGACCGGAGCAGTACTACTGAGAACCTCATCGCTTTTAAGAAAGCGCGGGCTTTTGCCCGTCGCGTTTTAAAAGAGGCAAAGGCTGTTTCATGGCGCATGTACGTGAGTTCCTTAAACCGTTTTACTCCTACGACCCAGATATGGGCACGCATGAAGCGCATTGAAGGCCGGTTCAGCTCTGTTCCGCTTCCGGTTTTAAGAGTGAACAACACGGACATATCCCACCCTTTAGACGTCGCAGAGACGATAGGCCGTGCACTCTATCAGCGCTGCCGAGGAGAGCCGTCCTCACGACCTGCACCAGCCGCCGTGGACTTCAGCACAGCTGAAAATTTGGTGTACAACGAGCCTTTCTCTATGGCTGAGCTCACGTCTGCCATCAGCTCGTTGCGCAGCGTCTCAGAAGGTCCGGATGCTGTCCACAACGACATGCTCCGTCATCTCCCGGCGGTTGCCCTCGAGGCGCTGCTAGCAACTTTCAATTCGCTTTGGGAGACTGGCACTTTCCCTGAGACCTGGCGGGAAGCCACTATCATTCCTATCTTGAAGGCTGGCAAGTCGGGACATGACCCTCTCCACTATCGGCCCATCTCTCTCACATCATCGCTTTCAAAGCTGATGGAGAAGATGGTCAATGTGCGTCTTAGCTGGTTTCTGGAACATCACGGTGTTTTTACAAACGCCCAGTGCGGTTTTAGAAAGCACCGCAGCCCTGTTGACCACATTTTAGCCCTCGACACCGAGATACGCACCTGTTTTACTGCAAAGAAGCACCTTGGAGCATTGTTCTTTGATATTGAGGCGGCCTATGATACAGTGTTACGACACAGAATACTTTCCAAAGTACACAAGTACGGCATACGCGGCCGGATGGGCCTCTTTATCAAGAACTTTTTATCGGGTCGTCGGTTCAAAGTCCGTGTTGGCGGTTGTCTTTCGAGCAGTTTTACGCAAGAGAACGGAGTTCCCCAAGGCGGAGTTCTCAGTGTGGCGCTGTTCGCTGTGGCGATCAATGATATTGGCGACAAACTTGCACCATCCATCGGCAGATCGCTATTTGTCGATGATTTCGCGATCTGGCTTTCTGCCACGACCGCCCGTCACGTTGCCAGACAGTTGCAGCTCGCTGTAACCCGTCTAGAGAGGTGGAGCGACGACAACGGCCTTCGTTTTTCAACAACAAAGACCGTCGCTATGCACTTTTGCCGCCGCCGCTGCGACGACTTAGCCTTGGGAATCAAGCTCCGTGGACAGGTGATTCCTACTCGGCCGGTGGCGAAGTTTCTTGGGATATTTTTTGACAGTCGTTTGACGTATAGAGAACATTTTAGAACGCTTCGGGAACGATGTTTTAAATCCCTGAACGTTTTAAAATGTGTCGCCCGCACATCTTATGGCGCGGACCGCAGGACGCTCCTTCTTTTATATCGGTCGATCGTCCGATCGAAACTGGATTACGCATGCTTTGTTTACGACTCTGCCAGCGAATCCAGTAAAAAGGCTCTTGACTCCGTGCACCACGCGGCGCTACGTGTTGCCACAGGTGCATTCCGCACGTCGCCCAAGAGCAGCCTCCTCGCCGAGGCACACGAACCGCCACTATCTCTCCGCCGTCAGATGCTGGGGATGAGGTACGCACTGAAACTCCGCCAGTTCCCAGGACATCCGACGTATCCGTACGTCTTTTCTCCTGATTTTAATCGTCTTGACAGAGTTCGACAATCGGTCTCCTTCGGATTGCGCATAAAAGAGCTCTTTTCTACAGTCAACATAGAGTTCCGTGAAGTGCGACGTACGTGGGGTACGCCCTCTCCGCCATGGAAATACGCTCCAGCGCAAGTAGACCTCACGCTCTCTGAGGTCAAGAAGGACGACCTGCCGCCATGTGTGCAACGAGCACGGACATTGGAACACATTGCGTCATACGACGGTTTTATCTCGGTGTTTACAGACGGCTCGAAAACGGAGGACGGCGTCGGCTGCGCTTTCGTGGCTGGTCGCGACACGCGCACTTTTTCATTGCCTTCCTCTGCCTCCGTTTTCTCATCCGAGCTCGTTGCAATCGAGAAGGCGTTGTGTTTTATCGAGGTGTCTGACAACTTGTCTTACCTCATTTTATCGGATTCTCTCAGCAGCCTGCTGGCTATACGGAGGTTTAACCCAGACAATCCGATAGTCCAAGACATTTTATCTCGGCTCACGTCGGTGGAGCAGTCAGGCAAAACTATTAAGTTTTGCTGGATTCCAAGCCATGTGGGTGTAACTGGCAATGAGCTCGCCGACGCGGCCGCGAGACGCGCGGCTGCGGCTCCATGCCTTCGGCGTTTGCCCCTGCCGGCTCGTGATTTTTACCCAGCCATCCAAACCTTCACGATGTCAAGCTGGCAGGCAGAGTGGCATCTCCAAGGATCTGGGAAGCTGCGGAGCGTAAAGCCTACCTTGGAGCCCTGGCAGTCTTGCTTCCAAAGCAACAGGCACCAGGAAGTGGCCCTCTGCAGATTACGTATTGGTCATACGTACGCGACTCATGGCTATCTCCTCCGTGGAGAGGAACAACCCACATGCAGTCGGTGTGCCGTGCCTCTCACTGTCTCTCACGTGCTTTTATCTTGTCCTCTCGCTGAACCGAACCGGACACGCTATCTCGGGCGCATCGCTCCGGATACCACTATCCGCCACCTTCTGGGTGACGACTCACCCTGGGTTTTATCCGGCAACATTTTCTCCTTTATCCGTTCGATCAACTTCCAAGTGATTTACTCGACCTGACATTAAATCCAACTAGTCCTCTCTAGTCCTTACATCTAGTCAGTTGTCTAGGACGACACTCTTGCGCTGCTTTATCTTACCTTGCTCTTTTATATCGAGTCTTTTATTTTTTAGTCTTCGTATCTAGAGGTTCTCTCTTTTGACACACTTGTTTTATTAAAACGACGTTATGGGCGCAAAATGACCTAAGTAGTCGGCGCGCCCTAAAGCCCCAATTAACAAACAACAAGGCCTGGTTCCGTGCTCCCCAGGTTCTGGAAGCCCCACTCAACGACTTGAACCTCTTCAAGAAGATTCGATCTTTTTATGCTATCGACGCGGAAACGTCAAAGATAGCAGCAGAGGCCATGGGACGCCACACATGGTATCTTGGGGAGGAGTCCGTGGCCCTCGCCTTTTTTGACCCTCGCGTTCCCTCAGAGACAAAGAGGGAGATGGCAGCAGCCCTCAAGACGGAGATGGACGGTCGTCCGCCCAAGAGACCAAAGCTTGGGGATCCCGCCTCTCTGCCACTCCCCGATCTCGTGACGGCAAGAAGTAAAAGATTCTTCGAGATCCTGGGAACCGAAGTGGGGTGGATGGAGAAGGTGCCAGACGACTGGGTGGACGATGTATCCTTCCAGACTGCAAAGAAGGTTGCGTCTGCCCTTGTCACGGTCAATGACAGGGCCGAGCGCGGCGTGAAGTTGATCCAAGACTACAACGCGCTCCTCACCAAAGACGAGAGCCAAAAGCAGGCACTTCTCCATGTGGTGACGGAGCACCGGAAGCGATTCCCCAATGCCAACAAGTCAACAGTCGCCGCCGCGTCCACTTCCACTTCTGTCGTCCACTGATGACTTCTTATCAGACTTCTCATCCAACGTTCTACGATAGCACTTACTGCTGAGCGCCAAGCGTCGCTACCATGTGTGTAGGCTTTGCTGCGAAATTTCGCTTTTTGTGACTGTATGCAAATATATGTTTATAAGGGAAAATTTTGATTGCTGTGCGGCACGGGTTAATGAAGCACGAAGGCTCTCAAATTTTGCACACAGTGATTATCTTCCAAAAGGAACAAAATGAGGCACTGGCCTGGAAGAAAGGAAAAACTTTGAATTTTCAGCACCACACTAATGCTTATCTCTTCAAATGGACAAATGTTTTCCCTCCTGCTGGTTCACTCGTATATCTTTATAATTGTCACAACGTGGACGTAATCATTAAGTTTAGTGATGTAGACCTTTGAAATATGATGACCTTTTGATGACCTTTGAATGACCTTTGACCTTTGAAACGATTACGAGTTATCAAATCGTCGCCAAGTCACCCATGAAATGTACTGCTATCTAAAGCTGGATATTTCTATACAAGTTTTAGTGCTCCATTAATTCGTGGTTGTTCACTTCGTTGCAGGAGACGGTGCTCCGGCAGGGAAGTATCGTTCGTTCGTTAATATCACTGTCACTCTCATCGATGAGGATCAGCCAAAGAGAACACCTATTCTGCTTGCGACGTCAGCTATTCGTGAGAATTACGAGAATCTTGCCGTCATTCTCCATCCTATCAACCACTCCGTTAAGAAACTCTAGGAGACTGGTCTTGTCATTGGCGGTATGCAGACAAAATTTGTTTTCTTTTTGGGCGGTGACTACAAATTTCTTCTCACTGTTCTGGGTATGAATGCTGCAAATGCCAGGTTTGCTTGTGTTTACTGTAATTCTTCCAACGTGGTTTATTGGAAACGAGGAGGTGGTGAGCCCAGGTCAGAGTTCCGTGTCGGCACGCAGGGCGTTAAGCGGCCAAACTTACTAGATTCGATCCCAGCGTCAAATGTAGTTTTCTGCTACTTACATCTGTTTTTGCGAACCTCTGACAAAACTCTTCTAATGATTCGACGTGAAGTGCCAGAGGTGCATGTCAACTCTTTCGTTGATTATCTGCATTCGGTCATTACGTGCCGTGGAAAAATTGTTGTCGTGAACGGCAACGTCGAATTCTCTTGCTTAGACGGTGAAGACAGGCGGCGGATACCCAAAGAGTTCTCAGGGAGATGCGCTGCTTCGGTTTGTGGGAAAAGCAAGGGGCTCCCAGCTGAGATGTTTTTTGGTCGCTTACATCAAGGTGCTTGGAGTGGCCAAGGACAGCAGCGACGCTGCTGAGGTCGAGCAAACCTGTGGCAGCTTCATGAAAATGTTTTTGGCATTATTTCAGACATCTATGGTGACCCCGTACCTCCATATTCTTGGGCACCACTGTCACGAACTCGTTTCCCGTGTCGGCCGAATCGGAGCATTTGAGCAGCAGAGCGAGGAAAAGTTGAACCACATTGTAACTTCAACTTATTTCAGCACCACAAACTTCAAACAGTCCCCAAAGCAAATCATGTTCAGGCGGGCGAGGGTACTGAACCACGTTCTTTCAAACATGGAAAACACGTGAATGACTATCCCTGAGGCCGAATTATCAGCTGTTTTCGGATTTCATGCTTCCGTCATTTACCGCACAACGGAGCGAAGTGTCCATGCTTATATCCCTTTCATATGTGCAAGGACTTTAGGAGGATTGTTGTGTTGTGTTGTGTGCAAAGAAATACACGCTTCGAATAAATGTGACTCGTTTTATACATTCGCTTCAATGTTTTCAACTCGATTTCTTTGACATTCTGTCCTTAATCTTCATCAACTACCCATGTTGCCCCATAGAGGAAGTGTTTCTTAGAAATGTTTTCGAAATTTTTCTTTAAGATCGGCGCCCGGACGGCCGTCGTTTGCTGCTTAAGTGAGAAAGGCGATTAGTTTTTCGACCTGATCAGAATGAAAGAAGCATCATAGGATAGTGAATTAATTTCTGATTCAGAAAATACTCTCGCTGATCATCTCAAGTTATACATCAGCCTTTAATTACGCCGCAAAGTCGGAACTCTTCTCCGAGATCGGCGCCCCGACTGCCGGCGTTTTCTGCTTAAGTGAGAAAGGCGATTAGGTTTTCGACCTGATCACAATGAAAGTAGCAGCATATGATAGAGAATTAATTTCTGATTCAGAAAATACTCTCGCTGATCATATCAAGGTACACGTCAGCCTTCAATTACGGCGCAAAGTCGGAATTCTTCTCCGAGATCGGCGCCCCGACGGCCGGCGTTTTCTGCTTAAGTTGAAAGGCGATTAGGTTTTCGACCTGATTACAATGAAAGTAGCATCATATGATAGAGAATTAATTTCTGATTCCGAAAATACTCTCGCTGATCATATCAAGGTACACGTCAGCCTTCAATTACGCCGCAAAGTCGGAACTCTTCTCCGAGATCGGCGCCCCGACGGCCGGCGTTTTCTGCTTAAGTGAGAAAGGCGATTAGGTTTTCAACCTGATCACAATGAAAGTAGCATCATATGATAGAGAATTAATTTCTGATTCCGAAAATACTCTCGCTGATCATATCAAGGTACACGTCAGCCTTCAATTACGCCACAAAGTCGGAACTCTTCTCCGAGATCGGCGCCCCGACGGCCGGTAACGGCCGGCCAATGGTAAACAGGGTAGTTGAGATTCCTGCCGCTAGGAGCGGCGGCGGCGCCACCTGTCCTCATGTCCGCATTGGACCGTAACGAACACCTTCAGCCACGAGACCAGCGCGTGACACTAGCTACCCACGTGACACCTCACCTCTAGAACTCTCCAGTACGTTCGAGAAACTGTGACGTACGGACGACCAATCACAAGCGTTCGATTCTTGTTTAAAAAGTCCTAAGCCAGTAAGCCGCCACGCAGAGTAAGGGGCCACCGCCCTGCAGTAGGAATTGGGTCGAAGGGAGTCGAGCTCTACCCAACCGAGAGGGGGTGAGCTCAGAAGACCCTCGGCCGTCACCGAGACCGGACGTGTTCCACCTAGTCTGAATCGTGTGATCAGTGAATACATCTGTGCCGAGAAACCAGCATCTAGCAAGGACCAACACCTACCCGCCGTGCCCCAGCCCTGGGCCCGAGAACAACGGCGTGCTTCACTGGTGCCGCTGACCGGGATCGAGCCTGCTGCCGTAGAAGCCGTCTTCTCTTCCATCTGCTTATTCGTGCAACTCTCAGCCGACGGAAAACTACAATCAGCCAGTGGTTGGTATGCCAATCCACGGATCACTGGCCGGCTTCCGTATCCACCTCGACGTACCCATCGACCCGAAGTCATATACTGTAAACTGCATCTGCTGGCGCCTTCTGGAACCAGTCTCCACACTCAGGGCTAATCTTCAAGACGTGCTGCCGCGCCTCTGCGGATATCATAAAACTTTCGTCCAGACCAGAATCAACACGCCTATCAGCCGCGACCCGTGTGATTGCAAGGACAACAGTCAGCGCAATTTCCGCCCAGAGTGCGGATTTTGCCATCGCTGTGGCAAGAATCTGTGCACCGTCTCTACAAACAGGATCCATTCGTGCAGCTGCCCGCTGTGCCTGGAGCGCTGCTGCCGCCTTGAAGGCGCCAACCCGGACCACTTCAAAATCACCCAGCTGAAGCACCTCCTGCTTCGCAAGCGCCAGCTGCCGCAGCGCAGACGCTGCTCCGGGCCCGTACCGCGGACCAAGTCGCAGAGCCTGGAGCCAGGAGCTGTCACCCCTACGTGGTTTGACACCGCTGTCATCCGCCAACTCTGACAACCACGCGCCCGCCGCTTGCGCGAACGCCGCCGGACAACTCCACGTGCAACTTCCCAGCTCGCTAAACCGCGACTCAGACGACTGGTAGTGCAGTGTGTGTGCACCCCTCTCCAGCGGCCGGTCAACCACAAACAGGTACGTCCCGACAACTCCCAAGCGGCCACTAAAAATTTTGATTCTTGTTTTTGTGCGTATATGTATAATATGTTCATTGCAGAATCGTAGCATAAGACTAAAAACGTTGCTAGAAAAGCTTATCAGCCTTCTGACAGAACGAAAAATGCACCAATTTGTTACCAGATTATTCAACCACCCCGTGACACGGGCCGGAGATGGTTGCCATGGTGACCGCTGGTGACGCACCGCCGAGGGACAAGAGGGTGCCGAACAGCCACTGGGCACAGTGGCGGCGGAATAGGGGGTGCAGGGGGTGCAGCTGCACCCCCATCGAAAAACATGGGGGTGCAAACATATCTTTTTGCACCCCCAAAATCCGTACAAGGGGCCCGTCGCACCATCCAATACATTTTCTCCTGAAAACCAGTGATCGGGAAACGAACACTGATGTGGAGTCATCCGGGATGTCCAATTATGGTCAGGAGCGCCCCATGCTAGTCTTTGGGGCCCCCACACCCGCTAGAAGTGTCCCGAGCCGCGTTTGGTGCTCCATGCGGCATCTGAGGGCCCCACGACGGCCTCAGAGGGCCCCTTTATGACGATCTCTGAGGGCTCCCCTCCCACGACCTCTGTCCCCTGGGGCCCTACAACGGCCACTAAGGGCCCTCATGACGACCGCTGAGGGTCCTTCAGACTCCAGGGCCCCAAGGGGACTCCAGGGGCCACGCTGGCCTCTGAGGGCCCTTACGATGATCTCTGAGGGCTCTCACGACGTCCCCTGTCCCCTGGGGCCCTATAACGACCACTAAGGGCCCACATGACAACCGCTGAGGGTCCCACAGGACTCCAGGGGCCCCGCTGGCCTCTGAGGGCCTCTACGACGGTCGCTGAGGGCCCTTGTGACGGCCCTAGACCCACACAATTCTGAGGGCCCATTTGGCTTCAGACGGCCCAGCGACGGCCTCTGAGGGCCCCAACACAACCAGGCTGCAGGCCGCAGGGGCTATGCTGGCATCTGAGGGCCAACGGTCTATTGCAACGGTCTATTGAGGGCCCTAACGATTGCCTCTAGCGGTCTTAATAAGGCCTCTGAGAGCCATGCAAAGGTATCTGAGGGCCCATGAAGACCCTCACTATGGCCAAGGACCCTCATGACGACCTCTGATGATCCTCTCGAAAGCTTCTAAGGGCCCTCGCCCCTCACAACTTCTGAGGACCCCAGGACGGTCCCTGAGGGGTTGAGAGCCCTTTCTCAGGCCCTCAACCCCTAAGGGTTCTCAGGCCCCCCCCCCCCTCAGGATTCTCAGGCCCCATGTCGGCTTGTTGAGTCACTTTATCTGCTCTTGGTGCCCCGTCGCCGGCCTCTGAGAGTCTCAATGTCGGAACTTATGGGGCCATGGGCCCTACACCGGCTTTTATGGCCCCTGCCCCCTACATCGACTCTTGGGACTCATGACCCATGAAATGTGGGTCTAAGCGGATTCTAAGAATCCCCATGCTGGTGCTAGTAGCCGCCAGCCGAATACCTATTTGGGCTCACACGCGAGCTAGTCCTGGGACCCCGTGGGTACCCGAGGGGTCTACCTGCCTCTAAGACCCCACACATACTTTTGGGACTCAAACGCTTGCCCCTGAAGGCCCCACTGAGACCCCTTTCCTCTATTCAGTCCTCCATACCGGCTCTTTAGGCTAAACATCGACTCATGTGGCCTCCATACCGGCTTTTGAGGGCCTCCATGCAGGCTTTTTGGGGGTCCGATGCCGGTTTTTGAGAGCCCTCAAAAGACTTTCGAGCCTATGCTGCTTTCTGGAACCTTTCAGCAACTTTCAAGGGACCGACCCTGACCGGAGGGCTCATTCAGTCTGGGAAGTCATGTAGGTCTCTGGAGGAGTCTCTATGTGGTCGGTTTCCAAGGGGCTTCTAAACATGGTCTTCTTGGAACGGTCTCGTAGGGCCCTCAATGGTCCACTGTGGATCCAGAAAAGTGGTTTGAGACGCTGCGGCGGGTGGTGGCTAGACTAAAATGATAGCCGATAAAAAACTAGCTGCATTTGCTTCTTTGTGCTTTCATTATTTGAGATAGGTAGGTACACTGCAATTTCAAACCTTTTACAGAACTTGTGTGTATGGGGATAGTTTTCCAAAATCTTCGTTTTTCATAAATCAATAATAATCACTAAAAAAAACGAAGGGGGGCCCAAAACTTCCAGAGGGGCCCCTTGAGAAAACTTTGCACCCCCATCCAAAATTACCTTCCGCCGCCACTGACTGGGCACCACGTCCCGGCCTCCGACAAACAGAGGTGGCATTGACCAGCTACTGAAGAACGGTGGAAGCGCCGCGGGCCATGCAACCCAGCCCGACCTCCCAGAAACAGTGGTGGCATTGACCAACTACTGAAGAACGGTGGAAGCGCCGCGGGCCATGCAACCCAGCCCGACCTCCCAGAAACAGTGGTGGTATTGACCAACTATTGAAGAACGGTGGACGTGCCGCGGACCAAGCAACCCAGCCCGACCTCCCAGAAACAGTGGTGGCATTGACCAACTACTGAAGAACGGTGGAAGCGCCGCGGTCCAAGCAACCCAGCCCGACCTCCCAGAAACAGTGGTGGCATTGACCAACTACTGAAGAACGGTGGATGCGCCGAGGACCATGCCACCGTGCACCACGTCCCGGCCTCCGACAAACAGAGGCCGTTCTGTTCGGTACTTAGAACTTTTAGATTAGGCAGGGCATACTTGGCAAACTTGGATTATTCTTCTCGTCTTTTCGTCTCTCCACTGCATAATTCGTTGTTTCGTTTTTGCTTTTTTTACTTCGTTTTGGAACTTAAAATATAACAACCCGGTTAGTTCGTCCTGGCCAATATAAATAGCCGAACACCACCTCATGTTACACGTCCGCCACTTTGTGTCCTTTGTTTATCTTGCGTTCACACTAGGTTATCGGTACCTCACGCTGAACACACTCATGTCTCGCGTGCGTCATTTTGTGTCATTTGTTTACCCAACGCCATTTTGATGTACTTGATGTACTTGATGTGCAGGTAAAGAGGACTAATGAGCCCTGTTGATCCAAGTGAACCCAACTGGTCCACTCTCGTGCCATAACTTTACTGGCTACTTTTTTAGTCTATAGCAAACTCATTTGTGGACATTAGTTTGAGCGGATTCGAAAGCGAAAATTCCGCACCGGGGCGCCCCGCCGCAGCTCTGGCCGATGGACCTTCTTCAAAGCGTGCCGTAAAGGCTCGCTTACAGGGAGCGGCATAAAAGACGGGTTAAGAGGAGACTTCTAGACGAGGCAGCGCACTGCGGGATAACCCTTCCTACAGGGTGTCTCAAAAGTTCGTTCACAGGTACCAGCCATGCTTTTTTGTCAATAATTCTGAATCAACAAGAAATTAACAGTCGAAATTTTGCATGGGCATTGGTGACAACCTTCCTCAAGCAGCCTCATTGTTTTCAAGTGCATTCGACCCTTCATGAGCTCACAAAAAGGGTTCACCTCTGACCATGGGTCAGGCACGAAAATGTAGGTTGCAAAGTCGGGTATGTTGTGAAACTCTCTGTTTCAGGAGTAATGGGAATGGTTAAGTCGGAAATGACACATGGCTAAGTGTCGGCGAGGATGAGTGCAACATGATGATCATCTCATAAAAACGGTGGCTAAAATTTTTGAAGGACGAAACCATGCGAGACTAACGGCGTTTTGAACGACCCTCGCACAACAGCAGACTCGTGTTCCGGAAAGCAGCTGAAAATGCGGTCATAACTATTGAAAACTGGCAAGAAGGTCACAGACAGAGGTTACCCATTTTCAAAAAGTGCAGGTCATCGTAAAATAAAGACAAATTATAATTTAAAATTGTTTATAATATCTATAACGCTAATTTTTGGGGACAATAACACAAAAATCGTCAATGCCAAGGACACCTGACCCTCCAAAAGTATCAGTTATTGTAAAATTTTATCTAGCGAAGTTTCAAGAGGCAGATCTGCAGCGAATAATTTTCTTTTAAACACAAAATCCCGATAAAACCACACGATGGACAGGTTTGGGCCGTTTACAAAGCAGAACATCTCCCGAGGAAAACACTCCGCAACCGAGCGAAGGTCTTGGCATGGGGAATGACGAGCGCTTGGAATTTGCAAAATTTGCACAATGTGTCTGAGAAACAGACGTCCGACACATTCTGCTACCATATGATGCGAAAAATTTACTCCTGGTACTTTCCGTTTGTTCAGGACTGGGGTCGTTTTGAAAAGGAAAATGGCGCTTGGGATGTCGGCGCCAGTCATTCATGAAGGAGTTAGCGCCAGAGAATGCCTACAAAATACTCAAGAATGGTGTCGATGCAAGCTGTCGGCTTTCAGGGAAAATCAGATGTTGCCGGGGAGCTAGTCAAAACTAAATCCGACGCAGAAACTGCAGGGGATTCCCCTGCAAGAGCTTGAAAGCTGGTAACCTTTTATCAGCCTCCGGCAGCTGACGGAGCAACAAAAATCGGTATGGGAAAATATTTTTGGAGATACAGCAAATGGGTTGGTTTCCAACCTTCTTAATCAGTTGTCAAAACATGCATATTTGTCTAGTGTACACACAGACACCAAAACCTTATACTTTTGGCCGGTTCTTATATGCTTTATTGGCATGGGAAATGTGTGAACGAACTTTTGAGACACCCTGTACGTCCGATGATTCGTCTCCATCACCGTCCGTAAGCGCTGTATCTGAAGTCCTCGACAGTTCAGGTATTTCGATGCGAAAGTATTCAAAACTATGACGCCAACCCTGCCGAGACGGCACAAAGTCGAAAGCTTCCGTCAACAGTAAGTCTTCTTGAAGTGGTATTTGTTTCGTTTGTGGCGGCAAAAACGACACAACCGGCATCCTCAGCAGAGAAGGGGCAGTCGCCGCCCGAGACGTAGCCCGTGGGGCACCCCGAGGCGGACTGGGACATTTCCATTTTGTATCGAGATATCTCAGTTGTGTTGCTCGCCGCTTTGAATAAACGCGAGCCATGAGTCATGAGACCGTTTTGATGAAGATGCTGCTGACCTGACCTGAAGATGCTGCTGACCTGACAACAGTAAAACAGCAGTGCATGCTTCTCATTGGTGTAACGAAGCTAAATCAACCCCCCTGTCCTATCAATTAGCCTCCTTGTCGATCGCCCAGCTTTACTTCCTAATATGCCAATCCTTTCCTGATTGGCCCCGGGATATGACGTACATGTGTGACGTGTAACATTGTGTGCCGGCCGAGCCGTGGCCGGGCCGGAGCGGGCAGAGCCCCCGGACATTCGACTGTTGGGCCTTGTCACTTGCGGCCACACTTTGACTAACCTCTTTTGGCTAAAGTCAATAAAAGCCGAAAGGAACGTCTTCTTTTATAACAACACAACGCGAGAATCCAGGTTTTATTTTTACTATCACGAGCGCAGAGGTTACAATTGGTTATAAGGCCCCTGACACAGTCGAATGACTTATGCAATATACCGTGGATGACCTTCTTGTTTTGCCACGTGTCAAAACCGAGTCTGGCAAGCGAAGGTTTGGCTATCGAGCCGCCAGCGCGTTCAGTGCCATGCCGCGCGACATTAGGGAGACCCGCTTATTGGCGTTCAGAGGGACCGTCAAGAAATACTTGAGCACGGCGCGGCGGTGAACGCACATATATGTACGCACAGGAGCTTTTATTGTGATCTTAGCACTTGCACTTTTGTTTTACATGTTTTAAGTGTCTTTTACCCATATCGTGTCTTTTACCGGTTAAGTGTCTTTTGCCCATATTGTTAACGCGAGCACATGAAAAACCAGTGATTGTCTGGATGAGCTTTAAATATATTCTGATTCTGATTCTGACCGTCAGAGTTTCACTGCACTAACTTTTTTCAAATGCAGGAACATGTACACAAACTCTAAGAAATATCAGCTTGCTCTAGAAGAGCAAAACAATAAATATTGGTATTATCCGCCTGCCGTCCGCTGGCCCTGCTTCGACTCTGCTGTCCGTGCCTTAGACAAGACTCTGCTGTCTTTGACAAGTCGGACTGAAACCCAACCAGCCCCCACAAGTCGGCCAACCCAGCGGGATTTGACAATGGTTAGCTGTTTATGTATGTTGTATTATATAAAATATTAGAGGATAATGGTGAAGCTAGTGCTGCATGAAACAAGGTTTTGGATATTGTAGATACATTGAAGTGCATTGGGAGCAAGACCAATCCCAAACAGATTCGTCAATGCACATAAGTCAGAGTTGTTTTTCTGCAACTTGGCGGCTTTTCCCCTTTGTGGCAGCGTTCGTCAAGACAGGAACAGATACGCTGCTACAAATAGCTGCTGTGCGGACAAAAGGGCGCCGCGGCTCAGCATATGTTCATTTATATACGTGAACTTGGTCCGGCCACTGCCGTCGGAAGAGCAGGGAGCGCACGGCCCACAGCTGGTCATGCCAGATCGGGAACGTGACCGTCCCGACGAGTGGTATATGTAAGGTTGCGATGCGTTTCCGCCTAAGTGGTAATTTGGAAGCGAACAGACTTTTGTATCGGCAGCGGTTTAGAGCTTTTGGTACAATAGATGTCCTTGGGTACAATCGTACGGCGTACCAAGTGTTAGGACGATTAGGTAGGCCGTCTGGGTACAACCGTACCAAAGTCGACGATACAGTTTCGTACCGTCTGAGTTTCTGGGTCAGTTCAAGGTCAGGGGTCAGCTGACCAGCTGATACGTGGCGGTCGACGCTGAGGAGTTCGTTGTGTTTCGGGTGTTGATTCGGTACTGTGATGAGTTGGGTGTGGCAAATATATGCCCGGAGAAGAACTGGTGTTGATGAGTAAAGGCCGAGAGGAGAAGAAACGGCTAACATATAACATGGTACATGCCACATGGTATGGTACATGGTATCATGGTATGGTACATGGTACCATGGTATACCATGGCACCATGGTACTCGCCCCCTTCCAGATACAACCAGTCCCTGCGGCCTTTCGGCTATCCCTGCATGGGCATCCCTTCGTATCCCTTCCCTTTGGTATCTCTTCGTAAGGGTAGAAGATTTGGTACATAGCGTAAACACAGTTGTGTTGTGATATTTGTTATTATGAATACATTAACATTTTTCGTATTCATGCTCATTGCTCAACCTTGGAGTTCATTTATCAGCGAAAGCGCAGCCTTGGCAAACACCTGTTGCGATCCAATGACCGAATATAAGATCCAATATCATCCTATCCGGAATAGGGTTCCCGGGAAACATCACTGGCGCCGAGGTAGTTTGCCTGGTGCCGCCCTTGCGCGTTGACCCAGCGCCCCGCTGCGGCGTACCTGGCGCCGCCACTGCGCTGTGTGCCATCACGTGACCGCCTGAGGCGATGGGGTGTCATGAGTGGGAGCGAGACCGAGAAGGTGCAACCGTTTGGCCTGTGGTTCACGCAAAGTGTCACCATGTCGGAACCTCGGGAACAGACAGCATGGGCACCCACCTCAAATAGTGCCCATTCTCACTAGAAACACTAGAAGCACTGCACCTCACTGGAGGCACTACCAGCCCACACAATGCGCAATCTCATGCTGGAATTTTGTCGGGTTATAATAGACGGAGAAATCAGCACCGCCGGACCGTCGGTCAACGTAAAGTCATCTCGTGATGTTACAGACGGTGGTACTGACCACGTGCCTTGTATCCTTGTGCGCGGGTGGTGGCCGGCAGAGGACCAGCTCGACGGCTGTCACCTGGAGGTTGACTTTCCACCAGCGGCGGCACGGGATGACACCCCGTATGTTCGGGGTACCCAGGAGCGTACGGTTTGTTCCGCTGGTCCGCCATTCACTTGGACTGTACTGAAATCAAAATTAATCGGCCAAGTAACCCAACCCTCCAAAGGACCACAAATTCTCTACAAGAGTGCCAACATTGAAGGTTCTAGTTGGAATATCACCACCACGTCTGGAGACTCGTGTGTCAGATGACATGACGAGGACTTCAGCCCACCGTCCAACACTAAATATGTAAATCCGACGAACCGCAAGTACAATGACGGACGGTCGGGGTCAAGACAAGTCAACGTACGAGCCACCCCAAGAGACAGACTCAGTCAGTCCTCTCAGAGCGGACAATGACGAGGGATCGCTCGTACCAAATGATGGAAAAAGAGGCCCTGGTGCCATCATACAGCCTGGCACAGAAAAGTAGCTTTCATCTAGTTTAAGTTATTTCCGGTATTACCCCAAGCACCAAACAGTGCTCCCTTCCATACTATTGTGTCATACGCCAGTCCAATGACGCAGAAAGAGTTCTCTGAGTGTATAAGATATTATTGTTTGTTTGTTGGGTTCTCAGGGTAGATCAATAGTGTGGTCATTTCGCTTCCAATGGCGATATGTAAAATATTATAAATGTATGAAAAATGAACAGTTATGAGTGGAAAAATAAAAGCGATCACCAAAATCGATAGATGAAATGGTTCTTTTTATTCTGAAACACATGATTAAACTGAGGAGTGAGGAGAAGTACTGAAAAAAAGAAACTTCAGTTCCGGTGTTTCATGATGTCACGAATAAAATTGGTTATCTGGTGGGTGCGTGTTCGACTTCGTGCCGACAAAGGGGCTTAATCAGCTCACAGCTGGCTCAGGGCTCCAGGATAGCTCACCACTGGTTCATATAGCTCATATTAGATCATTCCTGGTCAACAGATCTCCAATTAGCTGATCCCAAACTCCGAGCTCCAAATTAGCTCACCACTGGCTGAAATCTCAATGAACCTAACCACTGGCTCATAGCTCCATGGAGCTCGTAGCCCTAAATTAGCTCACCATTGCCTCACAGCTCCACAACAGTTGACATGATTGATTTCTAACCGAATCGGTCGGATTCATGATTTCCACTTCCTCGCTCAAAACTCCGTCTAACTGCACAAGTCATAGGACGCAACGCTAGTTAACGCACACTGATAGACACTGTATGAAAATAGATCTTTATATGGTCACCATCCAATGTAGGTATTCACGTGAAAACTCACTAAACTGACCCCAACTTCGGTGTGTTCTACCGAATCCCGAAGCGGTAGATTAGCTGATCGCCTCAGTTGCGCCGGTGGTATTTTCCGACGCACACTGCGCGCCACCATTGTCTCCAGCGGCGGCGGGGGCGGTTTTGGCGGGGGCGGGAGACACGCCAGGCTCACCCCTACCACCGAACGTCGCTCTCTTCACACCACTCTCCTGCTCTCCACCTAGTGTTTCACTGATCGGCCTTTTCAGGGCTGAGCCCGGCGAACCCACCGTTTCTGGCTCCATCTCGATATCCGACGTCGAGGAAGGGTTCACCGCCGGTGTAGATGAGGGTTGCTCCTCAGCAGGTGGTGCAGAAGACGTTCCCGGTGCTCCTGATGATGCTCCAGAGGTTGTAGTCCGTCCAGGAGGCGTCGGAGGACAGGAGTCGGTGTGTGTAGGAGTAACTGCCGTCTCTGGAGTATCCGTGGAGTTGTTCAGATGGTCGCCCTCCGCGGTCGGAGACTGGAGAAAGAGAAGGGGCGCGGTGTTAGTGCCCTGATGTACTCCGAGATGATGTGTGGTGATACCTACGCCCTAGGATGATTATTGATTACCTATGATGTGCCTTGATGAGTATAAATGAAAGATTTATAGGAAACCTGTAATATTACAAGATGCGAAGCTATTGCTGAGTTGCGACAAAATGTGCCGAAAGAAAGCAATTTTGGAGCAGCTCAGCCACTTAAGGTCGAAATTCGATATCAATAAAAGCAATAACAACGTTCATTCGTGCAACTTTAATAAAACGCATGTAGTATAAAAAAACGCAGAATACAATATCCCGTGGCTGGAATCGAGCCAACGCCCTCGCACTGACTCACCTCATCGTCACTGCCGCGGTCCGAGTTCAGGGAGTCTCTGTCGCTGTCCGAGTCGTCAGGATCGACCAGCACCTCCGCTCCGGGGAAAATGTACCGGGACGGCGGCTGGTGCAGGTAGGTGCCCTCTGTCGGAGAATAGATGGCAGCGTCAGTCAGGTAAACGCGGGGCGAATGGAAACCACCATATAAGACAAACAAAATTATGTAGATATAAGATAATATTGCGGGAGTATATTACGCTTGTACTCGCCTCAGCCGTTTGCATGTTCCTCCCGGGCCGCCGCCCGTCCGCGGGAGCCAGCCGCTGACTCCGTCCCGGGTCACGCGGCAGGGGTGGCGCCAGGCGCGCCCATCTGGGAGGCGACATGCGCGGCGCCAGGCGCCAGACTAAGGGCAGACGCAAACGCCCGTAGCAAAACTTCTTCTAATAAGTATCTCTCGCCGATCGCACGTAAATCAAAATGATTCAGTCGATCTGACACATTAACAACATAATGAACACAAAAACATAATGAAAAAGCCTTTAAATTACCACCATGGGTGAATATTAGAACAGTCAAGAAGAGTCTCTTGATTTCAATCACGGTGGGCAAATTTTAGCGCACCGACACAAAACAAATCTACTCAAAGCAAGAACTATGATGTAGCTAACAGCTCTTCAGTGAATTACAAAGATAACTGTTTTTTCTACCTGACTAACCATCTGGTCACTCTAGACGATCGCGGTGAGTCTAAATACCTAACCTAAAATTACACTTAAAAATTTCACCCCGCTCGGGATTCGAACCCGCACTCACCGGGTAGTTTGGCAGCGACGCTCTCCTTCAGTTTCCTCTGCCAGCAGTGCCGGAGGGCGTCTGTGTCGTTCTCGTTGGTCGGATCGGCCGGCGGTGAGGACGGCGCAGATGGCGCGGGGCGAGAGGGTAGTTCAGTGAGCTCCCTCAGAGGCGGAGAGAAGGACCCTCCTCCGTCATCGGTAAGGAGCCCGGAGCATTAGCCGCCGAGCCTGGGAGGGAAGGGGAATGAGCGTCAGTGTTTTTACGGCTATAGGTACTACTTGATAGAGTATCATTATGGGTGAGCACTGAGCTGCAGGTACAAGACCACTACCTGCAAGAACATAGTCAGCCACACAGAGAAGCGTGAAATGACCCTTATTGACTCGCAGACCCGGCACTCTCGGCCCGCCTGCCCGCCCACGGAAGGAACGTTCGGGTCTCGTTCTACTAAACAAGTGTAATATTTGTTATTTTGACGTCCCAAATGCTATTTAAGTTATTCAGGATGCCTGTGAAGAAAATGCATTCCTCTGCTAGATTTAAAGCATGTCTTTTACTCTTTAAAGCAAAACTACAATTACATTTGTTTGTTTGTTGGGGGTTAGGGGCACGAGTGCCAAGTAAACTACTGTTACACTTCAAAGTTCAAACTTCAAAGCCTTTTAGGTTTTTTGTCAGTATTATAACTAAATGCCACTGCTATCATATTCGAATAACAATAATCATTGCATCCAAAGTTTTAAGTCAATTGTCAGTGTCATCAGCCCCATATGACTCTCCAGAACTCTAGTAGGTACATTCCCCATCACCCACCTTCAGCAGTTCCCTGAGGTACGGACTGCAGGCGGACAGCATCCCCCTGTGGGCCCGAACATGCTGTCCCTCACAGCAGAGCGTGACGTCCAGCAGCTCCCCTCCAGAGTGGAGCTGGTCAAACACGGAGGTGACGCCGCCCTGGAACCCAGTGGATTCCCACTTGAGGCAGAACTTCTGAAAGTCCATCCTGGAGGGCTGAAGATCGGGGGCAAGACAGCAATTGGTTAGTTCATGAGAGGTGATTTGTTCCATTCTGGTTTGTTCAGTTTGGTTCTGATTTGGTTCCTTGTGTGATCCTGGTATCCACTCTCAACCAATTCAAGACCAGACTGGACAATTATTGAAACCGAATTAGATACTCTATCCTAATTCCTAGATTAGCTCCCACCAGAGTCCTCAGTTCAGGAGCTCGATGCCATAGGGACCCTACAGGCCTGAGGCCAATGGCCATGGTGGCCATCAAAATTCCTGTACTGGTAAGGTACCTGAAGTAAGAAGTAAAGCAAAAAAGAATGGTTTTTATATACTAATACCGTGCTCTAGGTGTGCTTATATTTTTATGTAAAAACTAAAAAGCAAAACAACTGAGCTAGCATAGGTATTAGGTACCAGAGGGGTGTTCACGGGCACCGCAAACTGCTGAGTGCGGTGTGTGCGTTGTGGGCGGCAGGCGTGGGGGTAGGAAATGGGTAGGCGGTTCTGACGTCACGTCAGAACTTCCCATCTTCCCATCTTCGAGGTCCCGACCGGCCATGAACGGTGACGGAAGGCTGACATAGGGACACAGTGGGCGGAACTTGGAGGCTGTGTACGGTCCAACCGCACACAGGAGCCCGTGAACAGCCCTCAGATATATATGACGCAACCGCGACATTTGCAGCGCAATTTGACGGATGCTCCATGGGTTACCTTTGAATTTTAGCTGGTAAAAATTAACATACGGCTCGGAAATACGAACTGAGAAATAAAAAGACTCTTGCCATTCACAACAATCATCGAGAAACACCCACCACACCCACATACAACAATAACCACCAGGGGTGTCGTTTTCCGAAAATGATTGGTAGTGCCCAAAGGCGGCGGCTGGCCATATATGACGGGGCTTACAAGGTAGGGTACCCCCAAATCTGCCTTTCTCATCTGATTTCGGCCACTTATTTTTCGCCCTGGTCATTGACAAGACTAACCGAAATCTAAAAAAAAAAAAAACACAAAAAAAAACTTTGGAAATCTGGGTCCACACCGGACGTCATGCACAAAACGTGCAGTTATATAGGCAATAGTGTCGGAGGAATCCACGCCATTCTGAAAGAGGCCCACATCGACTTAAAAGGACGGCTGTGCTGAAAGGGGACAGGAACAGCTTTGAGGGCCCAAGCCGACTAAAAAAGACGGCTGCGGGGCCAGGAACGGTTTTGAAGACCCACGCCAATTGAAGGGTTCGACAACTAACGAGGACTGGAAACACAACGATAGTTAGAAAGACCTGCTTGCCAAAATAAAAGGATGACAGTACGAGGGACGTTCAGAAAGCTACGGGCCCGACCATGAAGGAGCAGAGAGATGCAGCATCGACTCATTAGACCAAAAAGTTCATTTATTCAAATAAACACCGTTAAGACAAACACATTTCGCGCAGCACTTCGCGAGAGCCCTCAAGGCCTCCATAACCAAGTGGGTTTTGGACCCATCCTGCACGTCCAAGACGGCTGATTTCGTCTCCCTGCTGTTAGCGAGGTTGCCGCTGCTAATTTTCTTATGTTGGGGAAGAGGTGGCAACCACTAACCAGAGTGTGCAAGGTTCGGAGAGAAAAAAGTGGATGCGACAACAACTCGAAGCTCATCGCTTCACTGTTCGTCATCCCGCCCATGTACGCAGGTGCGTGGTCGCGGATCAGGTGCACACTTTACGTCAGCTTTCCTATAGCCTCTCCTCGATGTTTATCGAATGGACGCACATCATCAATTGTGTGCCCCTGTTTTGGAAAGTTGACGAGCGGAGGGGGGTCGCATCGACCCCTTCCCCCTGCCAGGCCGTGTTATGAAAAATGCCCAGGGCGAGGGTTAACGCTTGGTGCTTTTTTTGCACTAACTACTATGAAACGAATCACTGCTCTCTTCTGGGCGTCGCCCATCCTATCCGAAATGGCGAACTATGCTACGAATAGAAGCCCGAATCAATCACAGAAGAGACTTAATTAATGACCACTTACTTAATTTGCGTAAGTGGACATCCCAATAACACATCATTTAACACACCGCCTTGCAGGCCAAAATTCCAACTCCTTCATTGTTCGGCCCGAAACTTTTTGAACGCCCCTCGTAGTTACGAGCTTCAGTTTTCGGGGTCTGATGCGGTAATGACCTGGCGTTGAACCCTGGGGAATCAGGCTGCATCACCCACTCAAATCAATATACCTATGGCCTAATCTGGAGCACCGCGGCACCTTCCGAAATCGGTGTAGGGCCTCCAGCGGCTGGTGTGGAGACGGATCGGGGTCTATTAGGGGCGGTCGCGTGCGTATGCGGGACTCAGAGGCAGTTATGGACCTCTATAACCAATTGCGTTTTCGAGCCTCTTAAAATCCATTAACCCTCGCCCTGGCAGGGCATTTTTCATAACACGGCCTGGCAGGGGGGGGGGGTCGATGCGACCCCCCCCTCGCGATTGGCTCCTATGGCACCTAGAAACACCAAATTTGGTAGGTAGGTGGGCCCCCCGGAGTTCTCGCCCCTGTGCAAATTTGGTTGCTCTAGGTCAATATTTAGGGGGGTTTTAGGGGGAATAAATGTAAAAATTTCGCTAAAAACAGGTCAAAAGTTTTTCGCTTATAACTTTTGATCTAATTAAGATAGAGCAAAAAGAAAAGCACCAGTGAACTCAGCACGTAAAGGCGCATCGAATGATATACTTTTTAGCTTGCTTAAGTGTACTTAAAGTTTTTCTTAAATTTTAAGTAAACTTAAATTAATAAATTAAGTTCAAGTTAACCAAATTGCATCATATCGCATATCATTGGATTCGGCTGATCACCAGGAACACAATGATACCATTTTTTAAGCTCTAGCGTCATTATGTGCCAAGTTATTGGCAAAAACGTCATTTGACCTCAGTTGACCTCATTTGACCTGACCCATGGATAAGTACACCAAACAAAGAAGCACCAAGTGACCTGCTGTAAAGTACCGTGGTTTCAAAGCACAAAAGTGATAAAACGAAGCGGATATCTCCAGTATTTTCCGAATTCAGTATTTTCCCATAGGCTTAACATTACGACGTAATGACCTCTGTCTGACCTCAGGTCAGTGACCTCAAAAAAAACGGACTATATGTTATACAACTCGGTGAACTTAGCACATCCTGAAAGTTTGAAGGAAATCAGTCGAAAACTGTGAGTTGGACAGGTGCAAAAAGAAAATTGAAATTTGACCATGACCTTGTACCGGTTTTGCTGACCTGGTGACCTGACCCAAAGTCACCCGGACCTGAAATTTTTAGGTCATATGTAAAAAGGTTGCCCCATAGGCTGTGCCAAATTTGGCGGCGCTGCGCGCCGCCGTTTTTACGCTATCTTCGAAAAACCTTAGGGGGGGGGTCGCATCGACCCCCCCCCCCTGCCAGGGCGAGGGTTAAGGACCGGAGTCCTAGACACGTGAAACCTCATTGTCAGCTACATGCACCTACTGTGGCTAGAACCTTATTTATGTACTTGCATATGTGCTTATTTAATATTTGCTTATCTGTTTATTTTGATTTTTTATCAACTGATAAGTGACAAAAGATTGGTAGGGCTCAGCGAACATTGGTAGGGCCCAAATAAACATTGGTAAGGCTCGGGCCCTACCAGGCCTATACAAAACGACGCCCCCATGACTATTGTGAAACTTGGTAGGTAGGTAGGTAGGTAGGTACCACATAACTTGAAATTACTTGACGTAATGACATGATGTGGAAAGTGAAAATGATACCTTGGTATTGATGGAAATTTATGGACTTAGGTACGCTACAAGAAGATTGAATTGGTCAACCGATTCAAATTCAATCTACTTGTGGAGTAAGTCTATAGATTTTCATCAATAGTTACCACTTACCATTGAAGTTACTTGCTATCATGTTGATTTTATACATACCTAAGAACCTCATTCATTTTATTTGTATGACATGTTTGAATGCAATTTTCTCAATAAGTGAAGAAAAATGTTGGTAGTGCTCAACAACACATTGGTAGTGCTCAGCTGAACATTGGTAGTGCTCGGGCACTCCCAGGCCTATACAAAACGACGCCCCTGATAACCACCAACACGCGCGCCGGAAACCACTCAAAACCAAGGCCATATATATTTGAGCTCAAAACGCTCAAAACGCACGTGAACGCGGTATATTGAATTAGGTGCGTGAACGTTCAAAACGCGTCGTTATCATCAACTTGGCATCAACCTAGCGTGAAATTTGCGTGAAATGCACATTGAATTTGTCAAACATAAATGACGTCATGGAAGACTATGCAAGGTTTCTTTTATGATTTGATGCCATTTGATGCATACTTCAAGTCAATAAGCAGCCATTCGATATGGGAAAACTATATTAAAGTACATATGCTCTTTTAGAAATTGCAAAAGTTGTAATAGCATGTGTAATTTTGTCGTAAAACTTTTTGATAACTTTTTACATGACAAATTTACAATCTTTCTTGTGATATTCCTTGTGAATTTTTTCATCCTTATTTTAAATTTTACTACATCATCTTGACAAAATTACAGGATAATAAATAAAATAGTTACTCAATGGAGTAGAAAAGGAATCTTGCCTCAATAAATATTTGATTTATTTCTATGAAACCTTGAATGTATATTCCGGTCCCAAGCAGAAGATGAATGTAAACAGCAACAAACAGGAAGCAGCTGGAAGTGGCAGGAAATATATGGGCTATGGGATTGGGCAGGAAGCCAAGAAGAGGCTTTTGAAACATAGGGTATAACTTAATTAGATTGCTTGGATCTATATAGGAAAGCAACAGATTGATATTTAAGCTCCTATAATATCGCGATTGTGTTGTTTTAACGCCCTTGCTTGCTGCTGCGACCGCTGATTATATCGTAACGTAAGATGGAAGTCGAAGATGGGAAGTTTAGACACATACGACAGTTTTTTGCCGAGGACGCCTGGGAAGCCCTAAGTGATCTCGAGAAGCAAGTTTATTGTACAGGGTGTCCAGAAAAAAAAGATACTACGAAAATTAAGTCGCATTCATTAACGCACGTGCCGATTTTGTTCCAACTTCGTGTGCTCATAGTGCAAGATTTGGCAAAACTCATGAGCACTGTAATGCGTCGTTGGAAAGTTGTCTGTCTGCCCTCCGAGATGGTCAACATGACCATCAGTCACCTGCAGACTGTGCTAGTGCTGGAGCTGATCCGCCGGAAGGCCGCTCACATTGAGTATCTACTTTGAGGAGCTGCCGCGACTAACCAAAGAGTTAATATGCCATATGGCGCCTGCTGTCTGTTTTGCCATATTTTTACGAATACAAGCATGTGCCATTTTAAAATGTAAGGTGTTTATTTTCGGAATTAGAGCAAAAAATAATAGTATCCGTTTTTTCTGGACACCCTGTAACATGAAGTCCAACTATGACAAGTTATCTGAACTCGGTGAGTCAGAGCTACCCATTCTTTACGTTTTTATATGTTTAATTAACCCGCGCCCTGCTGGGGGGGGGGAGGGGGTGTTTGAAACAGAATGCTTCGGCTTGGCACGGCGGCCTAATACAGGAAATCTTAACTTTGAACGAAAACGCTACCGGTGACGCCAGGGTTACCGATACCGTTTGAACACCCCCCCCCCCCTTGTGGTTTTTCGCGAATGTCTCAAAAACGGCGGCGCGGAGCGCCTCCGTTTTTGGTACACCTTATCATACATCAATTCTACACATGTTGTGAAAATTTCAGACCAAGGTCATTCAAGGTCAGGTCACTTGAAGTGACCTCATCTCATAATGATAAAAAGTTCCAATGTCTCCCATTGCTACACCGAGTGACCGATCGCTTTGAAACTTTCAGCAATTGATAAGGGTAACAGTATCTATAAAATGTATATCTCAGAATTTTGATATCGGTGACCTAAGGTCAGGTCAATTTTGCGACCTCCCCATTATAAGTCAATGGGAGAAAATTGAAATGCGCCTCTTTTGGACGAATGACATTATAAACACTCCCAAACACTGAATTACAAGTGGTTTCAACACATTGAACATGAAAATGGTGTCCATGACCCCTATTTATGCCCCTGAGGTCATCTCAGGTCACGAATGGTGTCTAACAGTTTTTCGCAAATAACTTTTGATAGAGGCATGCTAGAGCGGTGAAAACGCCTTAGATGTGTTCAACTCGACGATACAGATCGACTGATATGCAACATGACCTTTTCCGGTCAGGTCATGACCTTGACCTAAGGTCAAATTTTCAAGTTGAACTTTAAAGGTCAAGTTATAGTTCATTCGATGCGTCTTGACGAGAGGAACACGATGCCGGTAAAAGTAAGCTCGTACAAGGCTTGGGTCAAAAATCATTGCAGAAAAACTGTCCGAAAAATCGTCTATTTTTGCAGTTTTTGCCCCCTGCAGACAAAACCGTTGACGTTAGGTCAAATCTGAGAGAATTTCTCAGAAAGGGCGTTAATAGGGCTATCGAATGCGCTGTTCCGCGGCGCTGTAGCTTTATTGGTTCCCGAGTTATGCGTTGGCTTCCTGGAAATTGTTGACATTCGACCTGAAAATCGGCGAAATTTTGCCTTCAATGACCTCTGGTCACCTGACCTTTGACCTGACCAAAAAAGTGACCGAAGTGATTTCGTCATTATTTTTGGCGCTCTTTCGAACGCCGCCTTCGGCGTATCGCTACGTGGCCCAGGAGCCGAGTTAGAACTTAGGAGGGGGGGGGGGTTCGAGGCCCCCCAGCAGGGCCTCGTTTCATAAAGCGAGTCCGTAACTTACGCCGGTTTTTGGTCTTGTATTGCAAGTTGAAGTGCATATGAAGCGATGACGATAATTTCATTCGTTGAGTTTATTTATCTTGCAAGCAAGAACAGAAGGGAAAAGGGGAAATAAATTTATCGCTTCACATGCACTTGCAATACAAGCCCAAAAACCGGCGTAAGTTACGGACTCGCTTTATGAAACGAGGCCCAGGGCGTGGAAATCCAGGACCCCCAGCCGGGCGCGGGTTAATGAAGGCTGCGTATGCTGTATACGCGCAGCCTTAATGAGTGTCTCGTCGAACCGAAAGATTTAATCCTACAAAACAAAACCAATGGCAAACATCCCGTCAGTTTCTGGCCGGGTAATGTGTACTGTGTACTGTGTAGCTCCATCAACGAGGAATCTTGAAAGGTATCAGTATAGAGGTGTCGTTAACCCTCGCCCGTATCAGTGTAATAGGGAGGGGGTCGAACAGACCCCCCTCTCGGTTTTTCGCAAATAACTCGCGTAAAAAGCGGCTGACCGCGACGAAACTTTCAGTACCCTCGCGTTAATCAATTTTACACATACCCAAAAAATTTCATGACCGTGACCCAAATGACCTTTGACCTGTGACCTACTTTTCGAGACCATGTTTGGCCGGAATCGCGATTCGGCGTATGTCGGGCCGACATACGCCGCATTAGCCGCGCGTTTGCAGTCTTTTCGTGGTTTCAAGCGTTCAAACATGAACATGGGATATGATGTTGCCCCGGCCCCATGCATTAGGGTGAGTGTCAAGGTCACCTGAAGGTCAGGTCATTGACCTTTGATGACCTCGTTTCACTTTTTCGAGTTTTACATGTTTCAAGGCTAGTTTCTGGAGCTGAATTCGAATTTAGCAACCATATGAACATTTACGAAGTAGTTTTGGTGTCTTTGTAACATGTTACGAAGCTGTCAGAGGCAGTCGACACTTACTACGAATACCCGGCAAGACCCCTACTGGTTGACCTGACATGACCTGACCCGACCTGGCCTAAATGCATGTGATCAAAACTAACATGATATTCGTGATCAGCGCCCCGAAAAACCCCATGACAGCCACACTACGGCGTTCTAACAGGTCCCGATTTTCCCGACTTTTGGGTCGTTGAGCTGACCTGGAAGGTCAACCAATGACCTAGGACCTTAAAATTGAGTATCTCGGCTTCTCGTCATGGGCAACACGCTCGTTATTACCGCGAAGCTCTAGCTCGATCAGGGGCGAAACGGCAAGGAGGGTCCAACGCCCCCCCCCCCCCCCCCCACTTATACGTTCACGGCTGGAAAAACACCAATACGGGCGAGGGTTAATCCACGGAAAAGGTGTGCTAGGATAACGGAAAAGCAAGCTGTAAACATGTTGCCGGTATTCAGCATGAATTAAATTATGGTATGAATTAAACGTGCATTATTCGGTAGTTTGTATCTCTAGCGGGAGGATGGAGCTGCTTTAACCCGCGCCCTGCTGGGGGGGGGGGGGGTGTTTGAACACCCCCCTTGTGGTTTTTCGCGAATATCTCAAAAACGGCGGCGCGGAGCGCCGCCGTTTTTGGTATACCTTATCATACATCAATTCTACACATGTTGTGAAAATTTCAGACCAAGGTCATTCAAGGTCAGGTCACCAGGTCACTTGAAGTGACCTCACCTCATAAAAAGTTTCAATGTCTGTCATAGCTACACCGAGTGACCGATCGCTTTGAAACTTTCAGCGATTGATAAGAGTAGCAGTATCTATAAAATGTATATCTCGGAATTTTGATATCGGTGACCTAAGGTCAGGTCAATTTTGCGACCTCCCCATTATAAGTCAATGGGAGAAAATTGAAATGCGCCTCTTTTGGACGAAAGACATTATAAACACTCCCAAACACTGAATTACAAGTGGTTTAGACACACTGAATATGAAAATGGTGTCCGTGACCCTTGTTTATGCCCTGAGGTCATCTTAGGTCACGAATTGTATCTAACAGTTTTTCGCAAATAACTTTTGATAGAGGCATGCTAGAGCGATGAAAACGCCTAAGATGTGTTCAGCTCGACGATACGGATCGACTGATATGCAACATGACCCTTTCCGGTCAGGTCATGACCTTGACCTGAGGTCAAATTTTCAAGTTGACCTTTCAAGGTCAAGTTATAGTTCATTCGATGCGTCTTGACGAGAGGAACACGATACCGGTAAAAGTAAGCTCGTACAAGGCTTGGGTCAAAAGTTATTGCAGAAAAACTGTTTCCGAAAAAATCGGCTATTTTTGCAGTTTTTGCCCCCTGCAGGCAAAACCGTTGACGTTAGGTCAAATCTGAGAGAATTACTCAGAAAGGGCGTTAATAGGGCTATCGAATGCGCTTTTCAGCGGCGCTGTAGCTCTATTGGTTCCCGAGTTATGCGTTGGCTTCTTGGAAATTTTCGATATTCGACCTGGAAATCGGCGAAATTTTGCCTTCAATGACCTCTGGTGACCTGACCTTTGACCTGACCAAAAAATTGACCGAAGTGATTTCGTCATTATTTTTGACGCTCTTTCGAACGCCGCCTTCCGCGTATCGCTACGTGGCCCAGGAGCCGAGTTACAAGGGGGGGGGTGTTCAAACACCCCCCCCCCCCCAGCAGGGCGTGGAAATCCAGGACCCCCAGCCGGGCGCGGGTTAAAGTGTAATCCATACGGAACGGCTATTTGGAGAACCCAAGTTTATCCTCGCCCGTATATAGGGGGGGGGGGGGAGGTCGAACGAACCCTCCCCCTGGTTTGCGCGGATAACTCATGTAAAAAGCGGCCGATCGCGATGAAACTTTCAATACCCTCGCGTTAATCAATTTTGCACTTACCCTTTAAATGTCATGACCAGACATGTGCATGGATCCGAGTGATGGATCTATGATCTCAGTGGATCTCGAAGCAAAATACAGGTTGGGATCTATGATCCCACCGGATCCGGCGTGAAAAATGCATCTTGGATCTATGATCTCATGTGATCTGACGATAAATCAAGAACATGGGCCCAATCTTACCAATGCCGTGAATAGGATTTGGCAGCACTGGCCGGAGTTCACGGCACTGATATCAAAGATATCCTTTTTATTTACATCCAGCTAATCTTGTCCAATGATTTTGAAAGCGTGAATAATTACGAATGTTGCTTGAACGAATGAATAAGTAAATGCGGAATAGTTCTGAATGCTACCAAATGCCGTGAATGCGCATTCACGGCATTTGGTAAGATTGGGCCATGGATCCATGGCCCAATCTTACCAATGCCGTGGATGCAGATGCCGTGGATGCCTACCACGGCGGCTGATCCACGGCACTCCATTTACCCAATCTCACCAATGCCGTGCCACGGCATTTCTATTCACGGCATTTTGCCCACGGTACAATTCAGCGCCAGCAGAAAACACGCAACGTGATTGGTCAATTCTTGTCACCTTGGCTATCGGAAATTGTGCGTATTGCTTGTGAACAAGTATAGCTCTCTATTTAAAGTTTTGTCGGGCGTTTATTTGTTTTAGAGCCATACATATGTGTGAAGGATAAGTTATTTGTGGAAAACGTGATAGCAAACTATGAAAAACTAAAGCCTGCCTAAAAAATTCTCCTGAAAAGCGGATTACTGGCCTAGTAAACTTCCGCGAGGACATTCTCGCGCTGA